AAAATCCTGTCATGCATTTTCAGACATAATCATGCAACAGCGCTGAAAGGTTTTGCCAACCAACATTGTTTCTATTGACAACTTAAGACATGGTCACATTTTTAAAGATGTTTATATTGTTAAAAATAAAAAAAACATTTCATATTGTTCCGCTATAATTACTGCAATAATCACCTTGTTTTCAGACCACAAGTGAATAAATCCTGAGCAGAAGTGCATACGTTTAAGTCTGTACCATAAACTGAAGATATAAACAGATCCTTGCATGATTTAAATGGGTTCCAATATAGTTTTGTTGGGATCTTTTTGTAAAGTATAATAAATGTGTACAAAGATATCATTTTATATTGACATAGGCTCTTTAGACAACCGATGCTATAAATGTATTGACGACCAATGAACAATTTGAGAAGATGCACATTTTGTGTAACTTTAAATATATTTATTAGTAAACAAGAAAAAATAACCATACTAAAATTAAACAATTTGTATAATAAACAACAACTTAATCATTGTGTATCACTCATTTGTAAAATGATAAACCTACTGCATGCACACTTTCTTGGCATGCTCTAAATTCTCCTGTGCAGTAAGTGCTTCTCTCTTCTGTGCAGTTTTCTTGTTTTTATTCTCAGTTGAAGTCTTTTCTTCCGTCTCCACACACCCCTTCAAACACAAGAGGGAAGAATGAAATAACGATGGCTCCCCCCAGTGACTCATGTGTGTAACGACAGTATGTTGAGCTCAGGCTTTGCCAGACAGTTGAACAACACAACAGACCTAAAAAGCACAAATCGTACCTTGTTCTTCTGGATTGCATGCTCAGACGTCCAGTTCTTTGCCTTCTCTAGATAAAGTGGTTTGTTGTATTTGAATTCTGAGGACTGGAAAGTATGTAAGACACTCAGAGTCTGAACACCTCATGAAGTAAAAGCAAAATCATTGTTTGAACTAACAGCTAATCCCCGACTTCATTCCCTGGTTCGGTCAATTATGTCTCAACAAACAGATTTCAATTCCATAAGTTGCACATTTGATCTTTAAACTGAGGAAACACAGCAGCAGAACTCACTATATCAGCCATGAGGGGGTCGTCGGGATTCGGTTCGGCCATCAGTAACTGTATGGAAGTGAGCAATGTTGAAATGTTGAGCGAGGGCCTCCACGCTCCCTTTGAAAGAAAACACATGAATACCAGGTTGACTAGTTTACAATAGCAACAAATATGCATAAAAAGATCTACTGTCAGTGTTAATATCACTACATTATGTTTTGTAAAACATATACAATTCACACTAGAATTATATTAAAGGTTTGGGTGAAATTATATTTTCAGGTTTGGGTGAAATTATATTTTCAGTCTTTACCTTTGGTGGCAATTTCAGAGCATCAAGACAAATGCGTCCTGCGTTATCAATGTTGGGGTGATAGATGGGTGTCAGGAAACGCATCTTCGGCGGCTCAAACGGATACCTTCAAACATGAGGAAAGTGTTAAATGAGTCTAAAATCTATTTAATAAAATTGCACATTGATGCTAAGATCATTTAACCCCAATTTTGTTTTTAAAGGGCACCTATTATGCCACTTTTTTCAAGATGTGAAATAAGTCTCTGGTGTCCCCATACTGTGCGTGTAAGTTTTAGATCAAAATATCTCACAGATTATTTTACAGCATGTTAAAGGTGCAATGTGTAAAAAAGTTGAGTATCTATTAACAGAAATGCAATATGACATCCATAACTATGTTTTCAGTGGTGTATAAAGAACTTACTTAATTAACCGTAATGTTTTTATTACCTTTGAATGACACATTTATTGCTCCATAACCACGGGAATCCCCTTCTATGAAGGTCGCCATGTTGTGACGTCATATTCCTACCGTAGCCGAGCGCGAACAAACAGCGCTACAGAACGCGTTTCATCACTACCTTGAAAGAGAAGTAGCGGAAAGCTGGAAGCTAGCCTTACACTCCGTGAGTAGTGACTTTTCCCTTGTGAGTGGTGTAAAATATGTAGTTGGGATTGTTTTATGTAACTTAGCTCTCCCTCGCAGTGTTATGGGTTTGTTATGTGGGGATAGATGTGCTGTTACGTTCGTGAGACAGCTTATGATTAGTACTCATGTCATTGACTGTAGCCATGTTTCCATCGACACTTTTTTATCCGAATTAAGTGTTATCGAATGAAAAATGCCTTATGGAATTTCATGAAAATCGACTAAAATGAAATACCTTCGGTCTCATCGGATTTTCTCTTGATCGATATACGGCTAATGCGATAAAAGCTGATGGGAACGTTATTTGCCGAATAAATAATGAATTGCGATTAAGTTTTATGCCCTTTTATGGTTGCAACACGCCAGACGAGTTCATTTCCGGCCAGTGTGTTTGCGCACACATGGCGGATGTCAACAAAGACAGATGTAAGTGGACGAAGCAAAAAAAAAATGCTTCAACCAAAGGGTTTCCGTGAACCACGATCTCCCAGAACTGATGGAGCGCTGTCGTTCCCACACCATAGTCACCTCCGCTGTCGTCGGGCATTTACGTGCATCGGCATCATCATAGCAATGTTTATAGCGTCGTTGTTTTCTTAGGTTAGTTTTGCTTGTTTTTACGTGGCTTGGTTGAATTCTAATGTAGAATGTGGTCTGTTATTTCTTGTTAACAGACTGCGGCGTTGCTATAACACACCGTTGCTATGGACGCAGTTCAGAGACGGAACAGACTATTTTCTTTAGCAGAAGCAATACTCGTTTTTAAATCAATAAACTCGTTTTTAAGTCAATATTTTGTGTCAAATAATTTATTTATTTGGTTGATGAGCAGGATAATATATAGCGAGGCGGTTTTTATAGCGAATACAACCCCTTCAACAACCGCCTCGCATACATTATCCCATACATATGTCGCTATCAACTGGCACATAATAAGCATTATTAGGCTTCAACTTGTGAATTTGTTGGTAGATGGCGCAATCCGTTTTGTCTAACAAAACTTTGTTCGCAAAAGTTGTTCGATTCAGTGCGAAAATGAATGGAAACATCTAAAATGTCTCAAATCAATTCGATATACCAATTTGATCGCAAAACAGCATGTGACGTCATTACATACAGGTTTTTGTTCGCTTTAAAGCCGTTTGATGGAAACACACTTTCACCAGCTTTATCCGCATGTGTTTTTTTTACCGAACTTCAGATAATTCGATTGACAAGTGGATGGAAACATGGCTTGTAAAACAGTATGTTACAGGAATCACTAACCCATCGATAGAGACTTTTGGATCACTAAAGTCGATTGCGAAGAGTTTTCAAAATCAGAGAAAAAAAAGCCTAGTAGTAAATAGTATCTATGGGATGCGGACGTGTGCGCGTCAAAAATGACATGATTGTAACAGCTCAGCTCAACACCTCCGACCTTTGGACTCATGCGTACGCGTCCCAGCTCAGCCACAGTAACAGCTCATATTAGCCAGCTAAACTATATATAAAAAATATATAGCTGCTCCCTCGTTGTATTATGGGTTTCCTATGTGGGGTGAAATGTGCTGCTGGTTACGTTTGTGAGACAATCAGCTGATTACTATTATTATATTAAATTATATATTAAAACCCTTGATCCTCACCTGACTATGGCTTTGTAAACGTTATCCATGATGTGGTTTATAATGGACTGTGGTACAGAAACAGTGACTAGGGGTGCTTCTCAATATCCCTCCTCGTCTCCTCGCTCCTCCGTCCTCCGCCCTATGACCCGGAAACCGATCGAGCTCAGCCATCTTGAAGGACATCTCAATTCTCTAATTGCACCGTAAGGAGTCGAGGATCGAGGAGTGAGGAGGCTTCCTGAGGACTCATAAGCGAGGATACACGGGTGCATCCTACGCGGAACTGTTATATTGACGAAACGTGACGCACGTGTCAATTCTCCTCCCCCTTCACATCGGTCACAATCATTTTAACTTATACTTTACCTTTGCAGTTTATATAAACCACACATCTCAGATATTTCAACAGTATAGCCTATCTTTATTATTATTTATTATGAATTTATTAAATAACCAAACTTCAACAACATAAGGGCAGATCCTTTTAGCGCTGCTGATGACACTGTGGAGTGACACTCGAGTGATCAAGTATTCCAATGTACAAACCCAATTCCATAAAAGTTGGGACACTGTACAAATTGTGAATAAAAACAGAATGCAATGATGTGGAAGTTTCAAATTTCAATATTATATTTAGAATACAACATAGACGACATATCAAATGTTGAAAGTGAGACATTTTGAATTGCCATGCCAAATATTGGCTCCTTTTGGATTTCATGAGAGCTACAAATTCCAAAAAAGTTAGGACAGGTAGCAATAAGAGGCCAGAAAAGTTAAATGTACATATAAGGAACAGCTGGAGGACCAATTTGCAACTTATTAGGTCAATTGGCAACATGATTGGGTATAAAAAGAGGCAGTGTCTCTCAGAAGTCAAGATGGGCAGAGGATCACCAATTCCCCCAATGCTGAGGCAAAAAATAGTGGAGCAATATCAGAAAGGAGTTTCTCAGAGAAAAATTGCAAAGAGTTTGAAGTTATCATCATCAACAGTGCATAATATCATCCAAAGATTCAGAGAATCTGGAACAATCTCTGTGCGTAAGGGTCAAGGCCGGAAAACCATACTGAATGCCCGTGATCTTCGGGCCCTTAGACGGCACTGCATCACACACAGGAATGCTACTGTAATGGAAATCACAACATGGGCTCAAGAATACTTCCAGAAAACATTATCAGTGAACACAATCCACCGTGCCATTCACCGTTGCCGGCTAAAGCTCTATAGGTCAAAAAAGAAGCCATATCTAAACAGGAACCAGAAGCGCAGGCGTTTTCTCTGGGCCAAGGCTCATTTAAAGTGGACTCTAGCAAAGTGGAAAACTGTTCTGTGGTCAGACGAATCAAAATTTGAAGTTCTTTTTGGAAAACTGGGACGCCATGTCATCCGGACTAAAGAGGACAAGGACAACCCAAGTTGTTATCAGCGCTCAGTTCAGAAGCCTGCATCTCTGATGGTATGGGGTTGCATGAGTGCGTGTGGCATGGGCAGCTTACACATCTGGAAAGGCACCATCAATGCTGAAAGGTATATCCAAGTTCTAGAACAACATATGCTCCCATCCAGACATCGTCTCTTTCAGGGAAGACCTTGTATTTTCCAACAAGACAATGCCAAACCACATACTGCATCAACTACAACATCATGGCTGCGTAGAAGAAGGATCCGGGTACTGAAATGGCCAGCCTGCAGTCCAGATCTTTCACCCATAGAAAACATTTGGCGCATCATAAAGAGGAAGATGCAACAAAGAAGACCTAAGACAGTTGACCAGCTAGAAGCCTTTATTAGACAAGAATGGGACAACATTCCTATTCCTAAACTTGAGCAACTTGTCTCCTCAGTCCCCAGACGTTTGCAGACTGTTATTAAAAGAAGAGGGGATGCCACACAGTGGTAAAAATGGCCTTGTCCCAACTTTTTTGAGATGTGTTGATGCCATGAAATTTAAAATCAACTTATTTTTCCCTTAAAATTATGCATTTTCTCAGTTTAAACATTTGATATGTCATCTATGTTGTATTATAAATATAATATTGAAATTTGAAACTTCCACATAATTGCATTCTGTTTTTATTCACAATTTGTACAGTGTCCCAACTTTTATGGAATTGGGTTTGTATATAAAAAAGCTTTTATTCGATTCCTCTGTCCTCCTTTCCTTTCCTCGCACCCTCCTACAGGGGGTGGAGCTGAGACGCAAGGAAAGGAAACGAGGATGCACAAATGAGAAATGAGAAGCAGCCAATGTTACACACTCTTGGCTTACTCTGGCTATTCTCTGCTGTCTCAGCCGACGAGATGTTTGTCCCGTTTTAGCAACCATAGCTTCTTCGAAAAGGAGGGGTGAGCAGTGGGCTGAGCTCTTAGTGCAAACCTGGTGCAAACTCGCAACCAAACCACTAGATGTCGCTAAAAATCCCACATTGCACCTTTAAAATTGCCACTTTTGGGGGGGTGAGAAAAAAACACACATTTTTGTGTGTATCCCTTTACATGCAAATGAGCTGTGTCAGGACAATCTCATTTCACAAACGGATATGTCAGAACAGAAACTGTCAGTAACTCTAGTTTTGTTCAGTTCGAGCTGGAGTCGGATAATAATGTCTATTGTCTACAGCCAGAGAATATAATATATGTAGTTAAACCATGGTATTACATTTGATTTTCATATGGCATTTACACCAGATGTTACTAGTCTCCTTTAACTCCATTTAAACTTTTTATAATATCTGTATTTAATGAAGAAATAAATTGTGCATTTTTTAGAGGTGAATACTATGGAAGCTTGTTTCCGCCACCGAATAAAAATAAATACATAAATAATTGTTAATTTTTCTCTCACAATTACAAGATATGAAGTCAGAATTGTGAGATATAAAGTCGCAATTGCGAGATAAAAAGACAGAATTGCGACTTTTTATCTCACAATTCTGACTATTTTTTCTCACAATTGCGAGTTTACATCTCGCAATTCTCACTTTATAACACATAATTGCGAGTTTATATCTCAAAATTCTGACATCTTTTCTCAGAATTGTGAGATATAAACGAGTTATCAAACCAATGGGCTATATGCACGCATAAGTTCCGCATTTGACGTAAGGATGCTCGTCCATTTCCGGTTGTGTAGATTAAAGCGGAGGAAAACCGGAGAAAACGGGATTATGGCAGAGTCTTCAATATTTACTGTCCTCCCGTCTTTGAAACGAAACGTACATACGTTTAGATGTAATTTTATATATAGTTATGTTTATTTAATATAATTTTAAAAAGAATCATAAACACAACGAGGGGTGTCTGTTTTATCTGTTTTTGTGACTAACGTTTCATTAGTATAACCATGGAGTTTAAAATTCAATATAAATTCTCGGTTTTGCATTGGACTCTATGATCGGCGGAAGTTATCGAGCATCCTTAATCCTTCACCGGAAATAACGCCGTGCATAGAGCCCATTCTAAGGGAAAAATTGGCTTGACTTTTACTATTTTTCCCCCCTCAGAATAGTTTATATCTCAAAATTATATAATATCTCGCAATAATAAATAATAATTATATATAAATATGACTAATAATAATATATAAATAATAATATCTCTCAGTTTTGACTTTATAACACGCAATTGTGACTTTATATCACGAAATTCTGACTTTATAACTCGCAATTCTTAGAAATAAAGTCAGAATTGCGAGATGTAAACTCGCAATTGTGAGAAAAAAAGTCAGAATTATGAGATAAAAAACGCAATTACCTTTTCATTTTTCATTCTATGGCGGAAACAAGCTTCCATAGAATATCATACATGAAATCCATTCAAAATATGAAACAATACAGAACAAATTAGTATTGAATCATTAAAAAAAAAAAAACATATTGCCTTCAATCAGTGTTGTTGACCATCAGGATGTGTACTGTACAGGCTCACCTCTCAGGTATGTTGATTTCCAGTGTGAACAGCCCTCCTTCGTAGGGAGTGTTTGCGCCTCCAACAATCTCTATATCAAACACAGGAGTAAGGCAGGAGTGAGGATGCTGTCAGTATTGAAGTTTTACTTAGATACGGCCTGTAACGTGAAGTGAAGGGAGACTGACGGGCTTGAAGTTGATCCAGCCGCTCCTCGACCTGCCAGCACGAGACTCCCGGAGGAGGTTCAGCACTGAGAAGCTGCATCTCCCGCTTCAGGCGGCTGGTTCTCTGCATAACGCCTGTCGCAATCAACACGACACGGTTAACGTTATTAGCGGACAGTACTTTAGCGCTTGCAATATTCACAATACACACTCAATGACACATTCCCCCAAATCAGCCCTTAATCTATGAAGACTGCGTGCGAACTCAGTTTAACCAAGATGTGTAACGTCTATTTAACGTTACTATAGCTAAAGCAAATTATTTAATTGACCATCATATGAGATATTTACCTTGATATCTTGACTTACTAGTGTTGTTCCTGCCGCGTTTTGCTTAATGACTAACTTAATCAGTGAACGATGAACACTAAAACAACAAAACAGCCCCTGTTTTTGATTCTGCCCGCTAAATGTCAATACGTCATTGTGCGACAGACGCGGGGTTTTACTTCAAGGTGCATTGTGGGTATTGTAGTTTCCTCCAAGTTCACTCTTCGCAGTTTGATGGTTTGATGACTGTCTTTTTTGCTCCTGCTGAAGCAACCCTCACTAAAAATGTACAGTCACGCAGTCTTAAAATGCCTGTATGGATGTGAGAGGTGAAATGTTTTGTGCCTTTTATTGAAATGTTTTGAAGGCTACACTGTAAAACATTTCAAGTCTGTTAAACTTAGAAACGAAAGTTCACCTGCTGCCTTATAAACACGAGTTAACTCAACTTAGATATATTCTTTGTTTCAACTTACAATGTTGTGTTTTACAAGTTATCTAGCTACTGAACATTCGTTGTTTCAACTTGACTCTCTGAGTTTAAACAACTTTGTCAACTGTTGTTTCAACTTGATTTTCCAAGTTAAGACAACTTACTAGGTTACATTATTGAAAACTCATAATCAACTTAAATTGTTTGCTCAAAAATATTTTTATTGTAAAAATGTTCAATGCTGCATAAACTTAACATTGGTTTTATGATAATACATGATAATACATGTTAGGAAAACAGCTTCTACAGTAAGGGATTATTATTAAAAAGTTTCACTATGTTACCTATTTGACAACCATTTCATCTTTCACATACTTTCTTATAGGAACAAAATAGTCTTTACAGTTGTAAATGACAACACCAGCAGTTGTTTTACAGTTTAAAACACTTTTAAAATCAGCTAAACTTAGCTAAACAATTCCATGTTGTTTCTACCCTTGCAGAGCAACTGTGTTGATGACAATTTAAAGGGTTAGTTCACCCAAAAATGAAAATTCTGTCAGTATTTACTCACCCTCATGTTGTTCCAACCCCGTAAGACCTTTGTTCATCTTCGCAACACAAATTAAGATATTTAAGATATTAAGATCGCTCCTGTATACTAGTCCATTGGCTTCTTGAGGGAATGACACTTGATGTCCTCGAAAAGTCATTAAAGACATCGTTAAAATAGTCCAAGTGACTACAGGGGCTCAATCTTAAGTTTATCAAACGACGAGAACACTTTTGTGCGCAAAAAAACAACAACTATTTATTTAAACTATTCGTTTATTTCTCCCTCTGCGCGAGTCAGGTTACTAGTTTAATAGCGTAAGCTTCTGTTATTGTACGTCACACGCATCACACACACATGACCAGCGTCGGCCAATAGTGAGCCTACGTGTGACGTAGCTTTACGCAATCACACTACGTTAACTGACTTACAGGCTCATGGAGAAGGAAGTAAATAGTTGAAATAAAGTCGTTATTTTTGTTGTTTTTTTGCGCACAAAAGTGTTCTCGTCGTTTGATAAACTTAAGATTGAGCCCCTGTAGTCACTTGGACTATTTTAACGATGTCTTTAATGACTTTTCGGGGACAGCAAGAGCCAGTCCCTCAAGAAGTCTATGGACCGTATGCAGGAGCGATCTTAATATCTTAAATATCTTAATTTGTGTTCCGAAGATGAACGAAGGTCTTACGGAGTTGAAACAACATGAGGGTGAGTAAATACTGACAGAATTTTCATTTTTGGGTGAACTAACCCTTTAAAGAACAGAATGCAAAGTAACAATAAGTGTCCCCTCAGCAAATGCTTCAAAATTCTCAAAATTAACAACTTTTTATTAAAGAACTCCAGTCAATTTTAACATTGAGCTATTTTTTTGTACATTTGGAGTGCTGTCAGTACAGACAAAAACGACAAAAATTGTTGTCGCCTACACAGTGTTATCCTCTTTTTAAAATTCGTACCCTGTTGACTTCAATAGGACACGTTCTAAACCTGCTTTTAGTCTCTTAACATCTTTTATTTGTCATTACGAGTGCACAGCCATGTGAGTGGTTTTATTAAGAGTGACCACGGTCAATCTGACTGCAGTAGATGTGAAAGATATTAATATAAATGATGTTAATTCAGCCAGCGCACATACCCGTATTTACTTCCTGTTTTCGGTCGAAGTCCACATTAGTCGATTGTCGAGTTTGTGCGCATGATCATTGGTATCCAAGCAATAACGTGCGAACTCGACAATCAACTACTTTGGACTTCGACCAAAAACAGGAAGTAAATACAGGTATGTGCGCTGGCTGAATTAACATCATTTATATTAATATCTTTCACATCTACTGCAGTCAGATTGACCGTGGTCACTCTTAATAACACCACTCACATGGCAGTGAACTTGTCAAGAGGCTAAAAGCAGGTTTAGGACATGTCCCATTGAAGTCAACAGAGTACGAATTTTAAAAGGATAACACTGTGTAGGCAACAACAATTTTTGTCATTTCTGTCTGTACTGACAGCACTCCAAATGTACAAAAAAAATTAGCTCAATGTTTAAATTGACCAGAGTTCTCCTTTAAAAACACATCTAAACATTTATGCTTCTGTTAATTTTCAGCAGTACTTGGGTTTTACTTGAAATAGTCGGTAATATCAATTTTGAACAGTGTCAAATAACTCAAGTGTCAAGTGTCCTCCAAAGACTGCAAACATAACATGTTACCTCCGATATATGGTTTGAGACCAGTCTATAAATTATATCTCAGCAGTTTGTTTCGAAGTCCATGTATATTGGCAGAACAGTGGTCAGTTTTAATCTTCATGATCACTTTCTGCAGGAATTCGAAGGAGTAGGTTAAGGCAGTAGATTGTGCCCATTAACAGAGCAAAGCCAGTGGGTATGTCTCTGAGATTATGGAGAACAATTGTCTCTTCTACCACCACAGCCACGTTGGAGACATCAAGAGGAAATGCATCATTCAGGACACCTTCGTGTCCAATCAGTAGACCAACACGCATTCCCTTCATAATGACATCCAGGGTTTCACCATGAACCTAAAACAAATGGACAATATCAATCCTTATTTAAAAGTCGTGTGATAGATTTGGTCTATAAAATTATAGAAATGGTCCAATAAAAGTATGACAATTGCCATTTCATGATTTTACTTCATTTCAATATATGCTCTACAAGGCTGGGATGACAGTCAAAACAAGCCACTGGAGAAGCACTAATTAGGCTAAAAGCCACTGTATGGTCAATCATTTATTATAAACAAAGACTAAAATGAAGCTAATTAATTAATTAATTAATTATTATTGACTCTGGAATGCAAAGAAATGTTAAAATCACAAAAACTAAATCATGACAGTAAAGAGAATACATTTTTCTTCATCCCTACTGCTCTGAATTCAGTATTATTAGTATGTTAACAACAATGTGTAAATATATTTTCTTACATCACACATCTTGGTTATATCCGAAGTATCCTCTGAAAAGAAGTGTGGAAGACCAAGTAAGGCAGCTGTTCTTCTGTTCTGATTTGTGTCCTACGAACAATTATAAACAAGACTAAGTGACTGGCATTATACAAATTAGAATCCCAATGTTAGTAAATATTATGTATGGTATCAATTTAGATGTCTCGATTCAATTTCGATTCACAAGATCTCAATTACCACAACAAAGTAATAAATTAATAAAATAGTTATTGTTTTTGATCCATGTATCCTTATAAATGTTGAAACCCCAAATTTTAGATACCACTGAAATTTAAAGTGATAGTTCACTTTGAAATTAAATTTTGGTGTGTTTTATCTTACCTCAAGGGCATCCAAGATGTAGGTGTCTTTGTTTCCACAATATTTTCAATTTTGATATTTTTCGGTCAAACTGTTCTTGTCTGTCTGTCATATAATGGAGGTCTATGGTCACCACCTCAAAGAGCATGCACAGAGAAGTCCAAATTAAACATGATTGAATGACTCGTAAATGTAAGTACACATTGATGGCCTAAGACACGAAACGAGCGGTTTGTGTGAGAAAACGAACAGTATTTATATCGTTTTTAGGAAGTTTTACCTTTCACTAAACATATTTAAACATATATGTTTAATTTGGACTTCTCTGTGTATGCTCTTTGAGGTGGTGACCATAGACCTGCATTATATGACTGATAGACAACAACGGTTTGACCTAAAAAATATCAAAATTGAAAATACTGTGGAAACAAAGACACGTACATCTTGGATGCCCTTGAGGTAAGCTAAAACATACCAAAAATTAATTTCAAAGTGAACTATCCCTTTAACAATTTTCTATTCCATATGATACCACAGCTAAAACTATTAACACCAATTTCAAAGATTATTAAACAAGTAAACAGTTATAAAAAAAACAACAACAAATAATTACATAATAATAATAATAATTATAATAATAATAATGAAGTAATCAGTGCTTTTCAGGTGGGCCTATCTGTATTTTTTAGAAACCAAAATTGAATTAAGTAATCAAATGTAAAATAATTAGTTCATTGTTATTCATACCTCCTTATCAAGGCACTGCATAACTCTGCTAATGCTCAACCTCCTGCTTGACGAGATGTTGTACAGCTCTAAAAAAATTGGCACCAAGGCATCTAGTCCATTTATCACTTATCTGAAACAAACACATAAGACAGCAAAGATTGAGAGAGGGAAAATATGAAAATGATTCCACAGGCATATGTGAACCTCAAATTCATTTAAATCAGCCATGTCACTACTATCCATTTAAGCAAATACATAATTTCCTTGAAATTTAACTTGCTGTGAATGTCTGGGTTGGCACTAGTTACCTGTCTCTCATTGAAGAGTGCAGGCCATCTGTCCCTGACTACAGAGATGAGTGGCTTGTCAGCAATGATTTTCTTTTCTTCGCTGAGAGAATGTTGCAGTCATCAGTTCATCAAGAAGCTGCAGGTCTGGATCACTTTTGGACCTCTAAAAGCATGCTCTTCCGATACTCCTCTGGTTTAAAGCATTTGCGTAAAAAAAAAAGAGCATGATCATATAACCTTGGTTAGATGATGACAGAAAAACGGATGCATTAAATATTTTACCTAGCTAAAGATAGACAAAAATTACCGCATGCATTAACGTTGACACGGACAAGCACTGCTTGTCATCATACATTGCTGACAGAAAATGCTGCGTTATAAATCAAACTCGTTTTGATGGTAACGTTAGGCCTACACAACTTACCTAGCAGCAGTTAACGCACCCTGTCCGTATAGGAAATTATGCCCGTGGGATAATCATCCTCGGGTTTCTTGAATTTGCGCTCCACGCTATCACAGACGACGCAACGCGTTGGATCTCAATCACACTGTGACAGGACCCGCCCTGCTCTACTTCTGATAACGGTAGTCTTGCAACGAGAGCTGCATTCATCTCACACTGTATGATCGGTAAAGTTAGGTGAAAATCCATTGACTCGAAAATATTAGATCGCATTCAAGTTCACAATTTTTTTCCTCACGGCCGCACGCCGGAGATCACTTTATCAGCCCTGACCCAGTTTTATAACGGGGTGATATTTTAAGCGCCTTTGCAATGCATTACTAATCTCTACAAACTAAGATACAAATAAAAGCTAACATTTTCAAAACCAAGCGAGAGAGAGCAAAGACAGTTTGAAGACAGAGAAACGGTGCGCGGCCGGGGCTCTCTCTCGCGCTCGTTCTTCAGTAGCAGCGACAGGCCTAAGTTAATCTTGGCACTGAGTTTTGTCGACAGTCGGAGGCAACACGAAATGTGACGGAGGCGACTAACGTTACCTCGTAATTTTCCAGGCCGGAAAAACCCTGCAGTATTTTCGGATTAATTAATTCATATTAATTTAGCTGTCCTACACTACACAGAACACCTCAAACACGATCGATTTCCACTTAACGTTAATGAGCTGTGTAATGTTGGCTAATGCTAATGCTATGGCAACAGACATTTGTTCATGCTTTTCCGCTCCAGTAAGTAACGTTATAAGTTACGCGTTTACTACACACCCATCAACTAACAAAAAAAATACGGTATAAGCTATGAACCAAAGTGATATATTAAATTATTTTACCATTTGTGTTCTGGTAAAAGGTGAACTGGTGGGAGAAAACACCATGGCGTCGTTAAATTCGCAAAGCACGGTCAATGTGCTGCTTATAACAATTAAAACGTAATGTTCTTATTCATTTAACGTTATAATTAGAAATTAAAAAGAAAAACTCACCTTCCACGGATATTTTGTGTTTTTCAGCATGAATTCCCGTATGACTCCTGCTTGCAGCTGCGCTGGCACAAAATGGCGACAACTCCTCTCTGTATTTCGCGGTATTTGCTCTGTATCACCCCTCCCCCAACGTTAACTTACAGCCACGAGTTAAATGAACATTTACAAGCCAGACAAAAATCACAATTAGTCAACATAACGCATACCTTTAAGTTTAATTTTCTAAAACTTGTACACTTGAGTTCAATTTCCACAACTTAGCATTGCAAGTGGAGTTAAAGACAAGAAGTAAGTTTATTTAACTTAATGGGGCTATCATGTTTTACAGTGTATAATGAGCTCATCTAATTTATAGCTACACTATAGCCATGGTCAAACATCTTTTTTTTTTTTTTTTTTTTTATCTATAAAATCATTACTGTGCTGTAAACCATTTAATTTTATGCAAAGCAGCATGCCTATGCATTGTCAGTCACCAATCTGTAGGCTAGCTGACTTAATTTGTATGTATTTTTTATAGTAATTAAGTATGTAACACGTGTATATATATATACGGTATATATATATATATATATATATATATAGCCTATAGTAACACATGTATATAGTGTACATATAATTATATAACACGTGTCTGAGCATTGTCTGGCCCATTTCACATCACCTGACTGTAGAGTGCATGCACATTGATTTTCTGATCATATTTTTTTTTCCAGGCACATTTGACTAACCACATTAATCTCAATAAATACTATTAAGTTTTGTATTTAATCATTTATGAGTGATATATAATTGTTCATGGAGGCTGGAAATGAAAAACACCTTATATTCAGGTGTGCTTAAATGCGCACGTTTGCTTTTACAGATCAAATAAGCCAAAGAAGAGATTTAACTTAGAAATGATTGGTAACGCTTCCTTTTACAGTACAGTACTTACAGTGTGCTTAAAGTGTACTTAATAACAGGGGTAGGTTTAGGGGAAGGTTCAGGGTTAATAGTTATTACACAGTAATTGTAGTTACTAAAATAAGTACATAGTATTTACATGGGTAACTGAATGCACATAAGGATGCAATACTGCAGCACTAGAAATTGCAGTTAAGGCATGACCATTGCAAAGTGAAATGCTCATTGAGACATGTTAACCCGCAAAATAATTAAAAATGAAGGTGTAGAATTAAGTATGAAACCATCAGGAACACTTAAGTCTCCATCGCCACCCTTTTCCAGAACTGACCTGGAGTCTCCAGAAATGCAAGGGATCTCAAAGACTTGGTAAAAAAAATCCTAAAAAATGATACCCATTCCCAAAATACATGAAGACTGTTTTTTTTCCCCTTCTTTTTCCTTTATAGACAGACAAATTCGGAGTGACTCTTGAAAGACCAGCACCACATCCTGTGTTACCTTTGAATAATTCACGTTCCAGAATCTGTCACTAAGCTTTGGACTTCTCAGAGATGGACTTAAAATGATCTTCCAAAACTTACTGCCAGATTCTGGAAGATGGATTCTTCAAAGGTTCCATAGGATGTGGTGCTGGTCCTTCAAGAGTCAATCCCGATTTCTATTGCGTCCTTCTCATGGGAATTTAATCATTTTTGACTTTCCAGTCTGAGTTCAATCTTTTTTTTTTTTTGCCTCATTTTATTTGTAAAAGAAACGTGCCCAATTAGCCTATTTAAGCACATATATGGCGATTTTCAGCCTGCATAAACAATTTGAAATCACTTATATAAATTATTAAATACGAAGTTAATAGAACTAAGATTAATGTGATTTGGAATTGGTAAAATGTGCATGAAAAAAAAATGTGATAAAAAAAATATGATCAGAAAATCAGCGTGCGTAATTCTGCACCCACTGTAGATACATTATTTTCACCATTATTTACATTACTGAAACCTTCGTAACCCATAACCTTATTCAAATCTAAAGGAATGTTTCGTTCCTAGTGGCGCTAAATGATGCTAGGCTAGACGCACGTCAACCGAAAATTGCTGACAGAAATCTATAAAATGATAAAACATAAAGCAGACGACTTGTTTTGGTTCTCAGAGCATCTAAATTGTGTTTGCAATGTTTATTTAAAATTTCGCTCTTTTAAAGTGTGAACCATGTGGATATTTCCCACACATTTCAGCTTAATAATCGTTCTGGACTTTCAGGAAACACCAGATGTGTTATGGAGAGTCATACACAAACACAGGGCCGATCTTTTCCCTACAGTGTTTGTGAGATTTAAGAGCACACACACACACACACACACACACATAGTACACAGCCCCTGGCAGATCCGCTCTCGTTCGTCTCTTTCGTTTTCATTTCCCGGAAGGATTCCACTTAATATTGCAGGCGATCCGCATAAGAAAAAGACAAACTCTGCTGTGCGACAATACGACGTCACGCGACTCTAAACGCCTTATTTTGTGTATATTTTGAACAGTTGTTGATATTTTAATCAGTTATTGATATTGTCGCGAAAAATTGGAAGAGAAGTCTTGAAGGTTAAAGAACATGAGTGACGCCTCCTCTCCGCCACCTTTAATAAAGGTAAGACACGTTCTCACTCACCAAATAAGTGCATTGTGGATACTGTTAAAAATCATGAATAGGCTAATCAATGTTTTTATCATTGCCTAGAACTAAAGTAATTCAATCACATTACACCACTTTTGTCCTCACTTTATGCAAATGTTAAATTCAACTAGCTGTTTTGTTATTTTGCAAACCCTCTCAAAATGCCATGAAAGTAAAATATTAGTGTAGATTTTTTTTAATGCAAAAATACTTTATTAACAAGGCGACGGTGTAAAACTGAAAATAAAAACTGTGCCTCAAATTTACTTTCACTTTTGCTGTGTGAATTGAGATCTCAGTTTGTTTTCATTCAGCAAAATATGAGACACTATATCTAGTTTCTGTCCTTTCTGGTTTATTCATATATTTTACATGACGTGAAAACATGAAAGGGAATTAAAGGCTGAGATAAAGGCTTCCCTTCCATTTGCTATTAAATGTTTCTTTCTGCTTTCCCTTCCAAACGTCTGCAGAGTTGTAATGGGAACGAGCCCTCAGTTTGTGCGCCCGTTCAGCCCATGCCTCGAGACGGACCTCCCCCCATGAATGAAGCCATGCCTGATGAACTGTGCAAGCTCCCTGGAAGACTGCGTATGTCCCCACATAAAAACTCATTAGATTAGATTAAATGCATACAGATCACACTGATTAAGGTGCATGCATTAAAGGAAAAATGTACTCATGAAACAGCACAACATCCAAGCTGCACTTTTCCACACAGTAGTCTTTAAAAGGTCAAAAAGAACAATAACAGTACCATAAAGCATTTGGCCTCATATATTTGTCTATATCCAAGGCCCATTTTACACCTGGAATCAAGATGCGTTTTGGTAGATCGGATCACAAGTGGATGACACTAAATACAATACGGGTCTTAAACACTTTGAGCTTGTCCACTTTGGACCACTTCCAGAGGGAGTTGAAAATACATTTGATTGCTCTCGTAAACGCTCGTGCGGTCGAATGTGTTCAAACAGCCACAAAAGACGGTCTACTCTCCGCATACTGACCTAATGAGTAACATTATGAGTAGAGCTCTAGCCAGACGGGATTCAAACTGTCGGCTGAAGACCCAAGTTTAGTTTAAAGGTGAAAAAATGTACCAAGCTCAATGTTGTCTCACCATTCCTGATTTATAACACACACTCACAGCATTCAGCGTGATCTTGCTGCAGAAACTACGTTTTTCTATTTTCTCCGGTCATGTTCATATATGTATACTGCGAAAAATCAAAGGATCTGAAAAAAACCCATACTTTTATCCGCCCATAGACCGTGTTTTTGAAGAAATCAGGACAGAAGTGTTTAAAAGTGGACAAAAGAGACGATTGAAACTAGAGCCCGACCGATAAAGGATTTTGAAGGCCGATACCGATACAAATATTTTGGGCTTTTAAAATCCGATATTCCGATATATCGGCCGATATTTTTTTTTTTTATTAAATATTGTTGGATTTCACACACGCGTAAAAGAAAAGCTAACTTTTCTGCACAAGATACGTTTGATACTTTTTCTCTATGTCTAAATTTTCACTCCTCGCAAGTATAAATTACATTTTACAATGCAGGGACTGTAACTAAAGATATGCTAGTTATAAATACGGTAATCATTACTTTATTTAGGCAGAAAAAGCTCATTGTGGTTTCCAAGCTCATTAATGTTAACATTAGCGGTCTTCCACCAATGAGAGTGGCATTAGCTTGCTTTGTGGTTAGCTAGTCTATGATGAGCCATAATTTAGCAATAGATGACATCAGACTGCAAATTGTAAAACATACATTTTCAATATAACAGGCTAAGGAGAGATGATTGAAGTGTGTTTCATCCGTTTTTATTTTATTTTTTAAATATTCATTTATCGGCCATTACAACTGCCGATACCGATATTTTGGAAAATGCCTAATATCGGCCGGCCGATATATCGGTCTGGCTCTAATTAAAACACCAGGTGTAAACGGGAATGTCTCCCTCGTCTACTTGTGATCCGATCCACCGAGACACATCTTAACACCAGGTGAAACGGGAACCAAGTCTTCTTGTAGCTGAAAGTCATACAAAGGTTTTGTGAGAGGAATAGACTTCACAGTCAAACGTGCACATATTCAAACCGTGGCTACAGATGCATCGTTTTTGCCTCGACACACGGAATGGATTTTCAGCAAATTATGATATCAATTTGGGTCTGTTCCTCAAACACATGTAAGGCTTCATAAATAGAGCTTAAACTGCTTTTTTTAGGAGATTCAGAGTCACTTCACACTGTTGCTTTCATTATAGGACATCCTGCACCATACCTCTTTATGTTTCTCACAGAATAATACAATCCGGAATGACACAAGGGTGAGTAAATGAGCTGTTTGTTTTCTGCTTGTAATGCACAGGGATCAATCCTTCTCTGTGGGATAAAGAGGATGTGAATCTCTGGCTGCGCTGGGCTCAGAGGGAATACTCTTTGCGACGTGCGGACCACCAAAGATTTGAGATGAACGGAAAGGCACTTTGTCTTCTCACCAAAGAGGACTTCCGTCTCCGCTGTCCCAGCTCTGGTGCGTGATGCTAAAACTATTAGGTTATAGTTATCGGTTTTGTCCCGAACTTTTATAATAACTGCACTGTGGATGGCAACTTCTGTGAAACAGGTGATGTTCTGTATGAACTCCTTCAACATGTGAAGCAGCAAAGGAGATGTGCAATCTTCAATCCGCTGGCCAACTCCAACACACACACACAACAGATGCTCGACTCGCATGGGACCACAGGTGATCTATCTATCTATCTATCTATCTATCTATCTATCTATCTATCTATCTATCTATCTATCTATCTATCTATCTATCTATCTATCTCTGTCCGTCCGTCCGTCCATCTATCTATCCATTTATCCATCTATCTATCTATCTATCTATCTATCTATCTATCTATCTATCTATCTATCTATCTATCTATCTATCTATCTATCTATCTATCTATCTATCTGTCTGTCTGTCTGTCTGTCTGTCTGTCCGTCCATCTATCTATCCATGTATCCATCTATCCATTTATCTATCTATATATCTATCTATCTGTCCGTCCGTCCGTCCGTCAGTCCATCCATCCCTCTATCTATCTATCTATCTATCTATCTATCTATCTATCTATCTATCTATCTATCTATCTCTGTCTGTCCGTCCGTCCGTCCGTCCGTCCGTCCATCTATCTATCCATTTATCCATCTATCTGTCTATCTATCTATCTATCTATCTATCTATCTATCTATCTATCTATCTATCTATATATATATATCTGTCTGTCTGTCTGTCTGTCCGTCCATCTATCTATCTATCCATGTATCCATTTATCTATCTATATATCTATCTATCTGTCCGTCCGTCCGTCCGTCCGTCCGTCCGTCCGTCCATCTCTCTCTATCTATCTATCTATCTATCTATCTATCTATCTATCTATCTATCTATCTATCTATCTATCTATCTATCTGTCTGTCTGTCTGTCTGTCTGTCTGTCTGTCTGTCTGTCTGTCCGTCTGTCCGTCCGTCCATCTATCCATTTATCTATCTATCTATCTATCTATCTATCTATCTATCTATCTATCTATCTATCTATCTATCTATCTATCTATCTATCTATCTGTCTGTCTGTCTGTCTGTCCGTCCGTCCGTCCGTCCGTCCGTCCGTCCGTCCGTCCGTCCGTCCGTCCGTCCATCTATCTATCAATTTATCTATCTATCTATCTATCTATCTATCTATCTATCTATCTATCTATCTATCTATCTATCTATCTATCTATCTATCTGTCTGTCTGTCTGTCTGTCTGTCTGTCTGTCTGTCCGTCTGTCCGTCCGTCCATCTATCCATTTATCTATCTATCTATCTATCTATCTATCTATCTATCTATCTATCTATCTATCTATCTATCCATCTATCCATCCATCTATCTATATGTCCGTCCGTCCATCCATCCATCTATCCATCCATTTATCTATCTGGTTATTTAGGTTTTAAGGTAAGGTTAAGTAACAAGCTGAAAGATCTCTTCCTTGTTCCGTCTGTTCTTCTATAATATTAATAAATGTCTCACTTCCTACTTGAACACGGGCCAGAGAATAAATGAAGTGGCTTGCCGAAGCTTGTAGCAAGCGCACCGTTGAAGGAACTGAGTCACTGTTTCTGCTTCGATATGCTTCTGAGTCCTTGTAAAGGGAAGCTTCATGTCATGCTCAGTTCTGTATTTTTTTGGCAAAGACTTTATAATTGATTCTGACTGGAAACACACCGATCTGCTTCATTTGTGAAACATGGGGTTAAATTACACCCATTCCTTTATGCAGGAGGGAATTTCCTGCTTGCAAAACTAGAGCTGTTGCCAAAAGGTGTGGCTAAATCAGACTTAACTCCATTCAAACAATAGCACACATTTATTTTACTTTCATATTTACCTTCTTGTGTTCGACTTGACCCTGCAATGTTATAAATAAAATGTTAATTTGCTTTGTAAATACAGCTGTAAATAGCACTTGATAAATGGCCTTGCAGGTCCTTGTGCTCCGTGTAACAGAAGTGTTCCTGTTTGTCCTGTGAATCCAAATTCCCGGGTGTTAACAGCCGGATACAGCACAGATCACAGCCAGGAGGGAAAACTCTTGTCTTCTTACCCTGAGCATCCACAAGTCATACAAACAGGTCAGTGTGTCAGCCATCCTTGTTATGCCCTTTATAAAAGGTTTTATGCAGATGTCTTATATCATGAGTCATTTTATTTCACAATAACTATATATAAATAATATAATAAAATAGTTATTTTGCTTTAAATATGATTATTTTTGCTTTACATTTAAACCTAACTTTTTACTAACATTGACATTTCATAATGTTTGTAATAATAATTTTCAGTATCAAAAAAAATCTAAAACCAAGTTAAAAATTCTAAACAAAAACACACTCAAGTACACTGAAGAAAAGTAAACGGTGGTAAAGGACAAACTGAATACAAACATAATGAAGAAAAAAAACTACAGTAGAACAAAGACACAGATGAAATAGAAATAGCACTAAAACTTAGTATTACTAAAAAAAATGCATAAAGTAATTGAATGTGTATAAAAAAAAATCCTATTAACGTTTCAAAAAGGATTCAGTCAAGAGCAGTGAGAGGTGTTCTCTTTTTTATTTTTTTTTATTTACAATAATAGGTTGCTGTCACTTTAAAACAAAATGCTTGTATCCAATATATGTATTTTATTTCTCAACTGTTTACATTCACTCAACCTGTTTAATCCCAAATTTGTTCTTGCAACTTGAGTACATGCATTTTACTCCTTAGACCTCCCTAACACTCAAACAATATGCCTTTTTTAAATTTTATGTTGGTTAAGTTACTGAAATATTAGGTTTTATACTCGGTCACAATAGTGACCGGTGGGAAACAACAGTCAGAATTCATTCAAATTCTTCAATTAGACCTATTGACACAATTCATTCCAAGACATCCAATATCTGGTTTTGTCATTTCATGAAGGAGGCTTGGGCCAATCCCAATTCTACCCCTTACCCCTTCCCTTTCCCCTAGCCCTACCCCTTCGCCTTCCCCTTGACCCTTGAAACAGAGTGGCAATACGTAGCGGTGAAAATATTCCCCTAAGAAATGGGACACCACTACGCCTCCGTTAAACGTCATTATAAGTCGTCGCTAGCGCCTACGTCACAGGAGATGCGCAGATGTTTATCACAACTTCCAAGATGCCGTCGACACCTCAGTCGCGTGGGTTACAGCTATTTTCTTGCATCTTGTGAAGTTAGCAGGAAACAACGGAGACGACGAAAATATGTTGCGGGACTATCGTTAGCAAACTACAGTAATTTTAGCGAATTTTTTTTACAAACGTATCTGTGAAGAAACTGACCGTAAAAATGAACACAATATTGAATGTAACATAAAGCAAATCATTGTTTGTAGTTATAATACTTATTAAAGCCACAAATACTTACATTTATGGGTCTCCTTTTTCGCTTGGGCAGCCATTTTGCGTCTGTAGCCTGGGTTAGCAGTGACACTTCTCATACCCCTTTCGTTTGAAGTGTGCTCCCGAAAAATCTTCGTTTGAAGGGCTATCTGGCCCTTTCCCCTAGCCCTCCCCCTCCAACCAAAAGAGAATTGGGACAGCCCTACCCCTTCACGTGGACGCGCAAAACGGAGGGGAAGGGGAAAGTGAAGGGGTAAGGGGTAGAATTGGGATTGGCCCTTAGTGAGGTGAAAAGGTTGTCATGTACAAAGTTACACCCTGGAGGAACTTCCGCTTGTTCGGCTAGACCCCATGGGCTAGCTAGACCATGTCTACACTTGGGCCCTGTCCTAGGCCAGTTTCAGGGAGATCTGTGTGGACTCATTCAGTACACAGAAGATGGGCCGTACGTTGTAGAAAGGGTTGTTTGTGGTCATGTGTGGGGCACACCAATTGGTTCTCATGAACATCTGTCCAATCCTCCAGATGGTTCACCTCTGCATCGCCATTCAATAGTCTACCTGGCCAATGGGCTGTTTCACCCTGGTACTCCCGGTACAGTCACTTTCAATTTGGGGTGGGGGTGGGGGAAAGGGGGTCACGTACGTCCAGAACGTCCAACCAGTTGAACGTTTTTGGGATACTGATAACTACACTGAACAAAATCACAGTGTTGTGTACTCAAGACTCTGACTCGGACTCGGTCTCGAGTCCATATTTTAATGGTCTCGGTCTTGCAATGGACACGTGTGCATTTTGACTCGGAATTGACTCGGAATCGGACTTATTCCCGAGTCCACTCGAGTCCCATTCAAAATACATACAGCATGTCATGATTATTACTGTATGTTAATATTTCTTTAAATTGTATGATTGAAACGTCAACATGAAAGGACCCAGGTCAGATGTGATGTGGAGCCTCTAGCTCAACTATGTATCGAAAATGTCTGCCTTATCATCCAGAATTCAGTTTGCATATAAGAGCCACACAGAATTCGTGTGCAGTTATGTTATGTTAAAAGAGCAATTACTGATTGTAATAATTTTAAGTCATAAAATTACCACTACACCACTATGTGGCCTTTTTACCATTACAGTGTACATGATTCCATGGTATATTTGGTTTACTGTTTGAGTATGGTGCCAATTTATTGTTACCACCAAATATTTTACATATTCTTAAAGATATCTTTAAGTCTCCAACCTTAGCTTATCCAACCTCTCTGGTCTTGCCTCGGACCAGACACTCTTTGGTCTCGGTCTCGACTCGGACTCGACTCCCTTTGGTCTTGGTCTCGACTCGGACTCGACTCCCTTTGGTCTCGACTACAACACTGCAAAATAATAAAAGCAATACTTTTGTTTTTGCCCCCATTTTTCATGAGCTGAACTCAAAGATCTAACGCCGCCTTCACACTGGCAGTTGAAATCAGCTTCGTAATACGCAATACGTTCCCAACGGACGTCGTACTACACAGTGAAAAGCGTCGGACGCGGGTAGAACAAAAATGGCGGAGAGATTAAAGTTTGATTCTGTCAGTTCTGTATGATCTCTTTGATTAGGGTTATGCTGCGTGAGGAAAGTTGCTCAGGACGTTGACATGTCAGGTCGGCTAAAAAATGTGATATAGTGGTCAATAGTTCAATATCTACCTTCAATTTAATTGTATTAACTGCCCTTATAAACGTTAGAAAGTCATGAAAATAAAAAATGACATCACAACTTATCGTTATAAAATCAATATTTATTTTATTAAAAGTTAATAATTCAGGTTTGTTTATCAGTACCATAGCAACGGTCAACTTCCGCTGGAATTGTCGGATAGGAACCGTCCGTAGCTTTTCGCAAGAGTTCGGATTTTTGAACGCATCCGGATGACCAACGGACACGATTTTCTTCGCACCGCACTCGGTCGGACCCGTTCCGGACCCATTCGCATGCGGTCTGCGAATCTCCATAGGAAATGAATGACTTCCGGTCGTTTCGCAGCCGCATCGGAGCTGATTTCAACTGCCAGTGTGAAGGCGGCGTAAGACCTTTTCTATGTACACAAAAGGCATATTTCTCAGAAATATTGTTCACAAATCTGTCTAAATTTGTGTTAGTGAGCACTTCTCCTTTGCCAAGATCATCCATCCTCCTCATGTGGCATATTCCGTGTAGAATTGCCAATACCTGCCAATGCCAGCCAATACCTGTGTTTTCAATGGAAGCACTGTGTTATACTACCGGTCACAATTGTGACCGTAAACAAATTTACAAGTCTTACTAGCAAAATATGTATGCAGAAGTATAAGTTATCAAACTATATCAGTAGTAGACCCTTTAAAGAATATATGTACAAAATATGATAGTTCTATCTGTAAATTAAGATGTTTTATATACTACTTTTTGTAGTAGTCAAAGGAAGACATCTTCTTCTAGATGTGCAAGCAGGAAGTGAACTTTCAAACTAGTCACATGACATTAATTGATTTTAATCAAGACAATGTATTTTGTCATTTAAAAGTTGAATGTCTTGCCCAAAGTCAATAACAACATTTGTAGAGCTTCCATAAATAAGAACAAACCTGCGGTGGGATTAAACGGGTTAAGACATTACTGACTGTGTTTACTTGCAAAGATGGTAATTTTGACACATACAGTAACTGTTCAAGCCAAATTAGTCTCTCTTTGCTTAGTTCTTATTGTGTTTCAGGGGTTTTAAATCACTTGTTTCTAAACATCAATGATTAAATACACATAAGCTTTTGTGACAGCACAGTCACATGTACATTTCTAGCGGTTAATTGTGTCCACGGGTGTATCGTCCACCCCTAGGATAGTGGCATTTCTTGTTTGTTATATTTAAAGGACCCACCAAAGCGCGTCCATCTTGTGGCCTCCAAGTGTGTCCCGGCCGGCCCTCTGGTTGAGATCCACTAATATAGGATATGGATGAGTTTGTTTTTTACTACAAATTTGACTTTTGATCTTTAAGTTTTCATAGCTCGATGTTTACCCGTATTCAGCAGAGCTTTCTCAACATTCTCCCAAGGAAGGACTGCAACAGAAATCTCCAGACAAAACCAGACAGCCTGTAAATGTTTTCTGTACAGATGAACCTCTCAACCTGTCCAGTAAACCTGCAAACACCACACACACCACTGAGGCCAATGGAAAGATTCCAGGTGCTCACGCATGTTGTTGGAGACATCAACTATGGCTGATATCATTTAATAATATCCAATCCCTGCAAATGAAGAAACAAAGAATACAAATTACAGTGTGTCAAAAAGCACAAAGTAACATGACCCTTCCATCCTTTCATTAGACTGCAAACTGTTATGGGACTATGTGTACCACCTGCTGTCGGACAGTCGGTATAAGGCCTTCATACGCTGGGAGGAATCGGACTCCATGGTCTTCAGAGTGGTGGATCCCAATGGACTGGCACGACTCTGGGGCAACCACAAGGTACTTTAACAGGAGACTCTTCTGTGTTGTTAAGCGTTATTGACGATAATCGAGATGGTTCTCACTGCAGAACATGAAATCCACGGGGAGGAGTCGGATTCAGATACATACACCCACCCCAAATCCCTAAACCCAACCCTAATCCTACCCATCTCCACCCCTTGGATCTTGATCCGAATCCTCCCCATGGATCTCATTGAGGTGCTACTGCAATAATCGGCTCTGTTTGTTATTGCAGAACAGGGCCAATATGACCTATGAGAAAATGTCTAGAGCATTGCGCCATTACTACAAGCTCAACATTATCAAGAAAGAGACGGGGCAGAGACTGCTCTTCCGGTAAGTGGAGTCATTTGAAGCACATTAGTATTTGTTTGTTCTTGCTCATAAATCAAATGTCAGAGTCGACTTATGTTAGTTGTTAGTTGATGGTGATGGTGATATAATTCCTATATACTTTCATTTGAGTCATACCCTTTGTAACAAAGAAGTGTAATTGTATTGAATGTGCATTTGTAGTGTACTTCAAGTTCATTTTTAAAGGGTTAGTTCACCCAAAAATGAAAATTCTGTCAGTATTTACTCACCCTCATGTTGTTCCCAACCCCGTAAGACATTCTTTCATCTTCGGAACACAAATTAAGATATTTAAGATATTAAGATCACTCCTGTATACTAGTCCATAGGCTTCTTGAGGGAATGACAATTGCTGGCCCTGAAAAGTTATTAAAGACATCGTTAAAATAGTCCAAGTGACTACAGGGGCTCAATCTTAACTTTATCAAGCGACGAGAACACCTTTTGTGTGCAAAAAACAACAAAAATAACGACTTTATTTCAACTATTCGTTTATTTCTCCCTCTGCGTGAGTCAGGTTACTAGTTTAATAGCGTAAGCTTCTGTTATTGTACGTCACACGCATCACACACATGACCAGCGTCGCGTCGGCCAATAGTGAGCCTACGTGTGACGTAGCTCTACGCTATCACACTACGTTAACTGACTACAGGCCCATAGAGAAGTAAACATTTGAAATAAAGTCGTTATTTTTGTTCGTTTTGGCGCACAAAAAGTATTCTCGTCGTTTGATAAAGTTAAGATTGAGCAACTGTAGTCACTCGGACTATTTTAACGATGTCTTTAATGACTTTTAGATGCCAGCAAGTGTCATTCCCTCAAGAAGCCTATGGACTAGTATGCAGGAGTGATCTTAATATCTTAAATTTCTTAATTTGTGTTCCGAAGATTAACGAAGGTCTTACGGGGTTGGGAACAACATGAGGGTGAGTAAATACTGAGAGAATTTTCATTTTTGGGTGAACTACCCCTTTAAGGTCACCATGAATTCAAAATGGACAATTCTTATTTTCTTATGGAATATTACAGTGTTTAATATTTCAGTTTACACTCTACATTATTTTAAAATCCCCCTGTAGTCAATTATTTCATCCCTTAAAACATCACTAAAATTACGCATTTAAAAGTTTAGAGCGTTTTTTGGGGGACTGTCTTTGGTTCACTGCAGTTTTAAGGAGAAAAGACTCAGCAATGGTGTCGACTGATGAATTTGCACATGTCATGATTTGTCTTAAAGCATATTAAAAACACAATATAGACACACAAACAACATTAAAAGCTTGATTTTCACCACAGGGTGACTTTAAAGTGTATTATTTTCGTATAAATTGTATTATTAGAAAATAGTCCCCATTCATCCATATCTGTCAGATTTAATCATTTTATTATAAAATGTGGAAAATAGTACAAATTAAGAGTGAGTAAATTTATATACACTTTATATATTAAACAAAATACTTCAAGAAAGAAATTTTTTTAGACAAAGTAGTAATTCACTAAAATGCAAAGTAAGTACAGTAAATTTTTGAACTCACACAAGAGGGAGCTAAAACTGCTAATATTGTTAAACTACTGCAGGCGTGATGTTCTCCAAAAGGAAAATGCTGTCCTGGTCACACTTCATGATTTTAGTTAGATGTATTCCTGGGTCCTGAAACAACAGTCCTGTCTGAAAATGTACTCTTAACCCTATCCCTACCCCTAACCCTAACATTACCCATAAGTTATCCCTAAAACCAGAGTGAAATGACGGTGAATAACACTGATGTAGAAGCACCTAACCGTGGCTGTGAGCCTTAACTTGACATCAACTGTAAACTGGTCCCTCAAATCTGATTGTTTTATTGGAATGTTGTTCCAGGCTCAACAAAGATGTTGAACAAGGAACATGTTACACATGGTGAAATTACATTTTGTTGTTCAGTCACTAACTAAACTGGCCCTTGGTCTTCCGCAGTTTTCTCAAGACGCCTGAGGAAATAATGCAAGGCAGGTCGGAGCGTGCAGAACCGCCAGAGTCTCCCGATAGTCCCGCGTCCCCTGACTACAGAGAAGACGCTCTGGAAGTATCACCTGTATCGACCCCTACCACCCCGAGTCCCAGCTCTGACCACAACTTCAGCATATCACCAATCCCATGACACTCACTTCTGCATTAATAAACCTGGCCTTTTAGAATGGGAGACCCCAGAGCCGGACGTCAAATTCAGAATGATGTGAAATACAGACTGCCATCTACATCCCCAGAGATTGCTGATATCCTGTCGAGGAACCATTGGAATATTTTCGGAGATGCTAAGTTTAGGTTTACTTCACACAGTTTTGACTCAGGGTAGTTTATGCAGATGTTTGCTGTGAGGATGTGTTGAAAACTACATGAAATTCATCAACGCAACAATCATGATTGATTCTCATAGTCTTGTTGTCAAGTTGATATGAAAAACGTTCTCAGGTTGCAAAACTATGCAATGTTATTTTTTATAGATTTGTGAACTGTACTGCATTAATTAATCAAACGGCATTAATAATATGGGTGACACTTTATTTCACAGTCCTATTCCGCTGGAATATACTATGTACTTATAGTAATTTCAGGGTAATAACTAAGTACTAGTCCTGAACCTACACCTAAACCTAACCTTAACCCATGTAGCGACTTTATATTCCCTAGTGCTTCCTTAGGTAAGTACACTGTAATTACACGTAAGTGCACATACTGTAAAATAAAGTGCATCCATAATATGTACACTGAAATCTGTTTTCATGAATTCCCTATTGATGCTATAAAGGTAACTGACAAATTAGATGCTCATACTTTTTATATGTATATTTTAGGTTAAAATAAATATGAATGCTGAAGGGAAAAGACAAAGTTTGTATTTTGTGAAATTTTGTGAAATTTTTGCAAAAAGTAAATACGAAAATAGTTTGTATGCTTTTTTGAATAGTTAAAAAAAGTTGTTTATAAGTATATATGTCATTTGGTTTTATAAAATCTAGTCTAATAACTAGATGGTAACACTTTAGTTTAGGGTTCAATTTTCACTATGAACTAGTTGCTTATTAGCATGCAAATTACTAGGATATTGGCTGTTTATTAGTACATAAAGCACATATTAATGGCTTATTCTGCTTGACCACATTCTACATCCTTTAATCATCCAATACCTAAACTTAACAATACATTACTAACTATTAATAAGCAGTAATTATGAGTTTATTGAGGAAAAAGTCATCGCTATACACTGTAAAATCTAACATTGTTCTTACTAAGATTTTTTTGTTAACTTTACCTAAAGTGCAATAATTTGTTGAACTTACTTAAAATTTCTGTACTGTTTGCATGTGTGCTTTCGTTACTCAGAAAAAACCTTGTAAACATTACTTGACTGGTTTGAGTACCATTTTCAATTTGCATTCGCTCATTTTCCAGTCATCTTGAGTGTTATTGTCAATACACCTAAATATTTTTGGGAGAACATCAAAATTCTTTAGTTGACTTGTTGATTTCCCTTTCTCACCATTATTGTGATTGATGTTCCCTTTGGTTGGGCACTTGGAACTTAATTTATATTATTGTTCTCTTCCAATTGTTTGCAGTGATGCAACTTGAAATCATAATTATTTGATTTTCAAAGGAAGTGAAGTAATTTATATATATATATATATATATATATACAAACACACATACTTAAATTAATTAATAAATTATATATAACATAAATATATTTCATGTATAATAATGATCTTTTAACATTTTATTGCTAACGCTTATGGCATAAATCTTTAATTGGGTTGATATAATCCCTCTATATTTGTGACAATATTTTGGTTGAGTCACACACAGACTTCAACATTCAGCATGCAAACCACAACAGTGGTAACATTTAAAAAAAAAAATCATTTAATTAATTAGACATTACAATTTTATTTGCTGTCTCTTTTCAGTATAACCCCAATAACGATAGCAAATAAAATTGTAATAAAGCCAAAAAATAGTAAAATAAAGCAATTCATTTATTCATGCCGCAATGCACTCTGGGAGTACACTTCCTCGGTTCACAGATACTGGAAAGTAAAAGATCAAGTATAGTATGGAAATTATTTTAAGTTACTGGAACTCTCTTGTAAGTGTACACTACTAGGCATGCACTTGTTAGTACTACATATTATTCCTATTTCACTTTACTCAGTTTTTTGAGTGCAATCGGTTTGCATGCTTTTTTCAAGTAAGGTGTACTAATTGGATTTTACAGTGTAGCGAGAATTAGACTCTAAACTTACCATTATTATAACATGAATAGACAAATGTTGATTAATGGTCAATGAAATTAAATACCACCTAAAGTTGTGTTCTAAAAAAGATGACTTAAAAGAAGACGAAATTATTGAAAAAAAATAAATCTAAATATTTCTTATTTTACTTTCTTTGAAGAACTGGGATTCCCAATGTCAGGGAAACACCTTTATAACCTAATTTTTAAAGTGTGATTTCTAGACCTGGAAAAGTCAGGTACATTAATAAAATCTTAAAAATAAATATAGATTTTTCTATAAAAAATATTATCCTTAATTTTTATCTTAGAAATCATGAACAATTGGAAAAATCATTGGGCCTTAGAATACTGTTCAAACATGAGAGGCTTTTGAAAGTCAAAACGGTTGAGAATCTCTAATCTAGAAGAGCATTGAGTTCAGCTGAGGGAAGTGACATCACATTATTGCTCACGGCAAATCAACTGACTGTGTGAACGGTAGGTGCATTTAAGATAATGGTCTCTACGTAGGTTTTGGACGAGGAATAAGATACCTTTTTGTTTCAACTTTATTGATTCGGTTCTTGGATCCATTCTCCCTCTTCATAGATGTGCTTGTAATGGTTTAGCTCTTCTCTACGGTAATGTCTACGCTCATTTTAAGACATTAAACTAAATGTCAAGGGATTAGTATTACTCCAAAGATGACAATAATATCCATTTACCTCTGATACCCTCTGAAGTTTGTGTGCAGACACAAAGGTCTAATTCAGATATCATGATGTGAGAAATTGATCATTCCTGGTTTTCCAGAGTGGAAGGAGGGACCTTCTTACGTTTTTTGTTGTTAACAACACCGTGACTGTCAGTTTTTATGTTGTTGCTCTGATGGTCCTCATCTGAAGTTGGAGTCAGAGCACTGAAGAGCTGATACCATCTGACCAAGAGGAGATATTTCCAGTCATGTCATCACCATTATGCATTCTCTCTAAAAATGAGAACCTCTCTGTGTCTTTCTGTGGTTCTGGCTTTCTAGCAACTTACCAACTCGGTGCTGCTCAGAGTCTTTTGGATAACGCGGCCTGGATCCTGCAAGGAGCTCCAAGAGTCTATGGTGCGTCTGCTGGTTCTCTCGTGGCTGCCGCGGTCGTCTGTGGGTCCAATCTAGGTAATCTGAGATCTTTCTGTTCATATTCCCCATTCATTTATTGACTATGGGACTAGTGTTGTACTTCTAAAGGTTGGTCAAGGGATTAGTGTGCTGTAAGTCACTCGGACAAAAAGAATTAGGATATAAAATGAACTGTTGGTAGTCATTAAATCAATCTTTTCTTCTCACAGGACGTGTGCGAGACCAGCTTTTGGAATTTGCGAGATTTACCAAACAACAGTCGCTCGGCATTCTCAGTCCCACGGTGGATATTTTCCGGTGGCTGGAGGTCACACTGCAGCGATGTCTGCCTGATAATGCCCACACTCTGGCCACGGGACGTCTGCACATTTCCATGACTCGCATGTCTGACGGGAAAAATGTTTTAGTGACGGAATTTCATTCCAAAGATGAGCTTGTAAAAGTAAGCATATTTTTTATTTATGCCATATCATTTAAAAAATGTATATGTATACAAATATTCAGTTTACTGTAGTGTGTCATGTTACAGCTCAGTTACAGCTGTTGCAGCCCAATCTCATGAGAAAGTTTAACAATTTCATGAGTTGGCAATTTCGTACTAATTTGTACTTGTACTAAATTTGTAGGAAAAGAAGTCCTAGAAACCTAAACTTTGGTGAGGTAAAATGAGACTATACAAGTTCATACAAATTTAACACCAATTCGCCTCGCTCTGATATTCCTACATCGGAACTAGACTCGCGTACGGCTGTTACAGAAGCCAGCGATTATAGTTTCGTATGTGGTTCAAAGTTATAAATATGGATATGTTCTTACAAAAGTGCATGGCTTTGCTTCAGAAGGCATGTATTAACCCTCTGAAGTACTTTGGATTACTTTTATGATGGAGGGATGCACTTTTTTTGGGCTTCAAAATCTCAGGCGCTCCCAAAGCTTGGAAAAGCCAGGTTCTTTATAACATAACTCTGATTGTGTTTGGCTAAACAAAGAAAGTCATACACACCTTGGATTGAGGGTGTGCAATTTTTTCTCTGTGTGTGAATTAACCCTTTAAGTGGCCTCTTTCCGTCTCCTACAAGGCTCTTTTGTGCAGTTGTTTTGTCCCTGTGTACTCTGGCGTGATCCCACCACAGTATAAAGGCGAGGTGAGTAAAAGTGTTTGTACTGTATGTCCTCTGTAACAACATGCCTAAGAACTACAGAGTCTAAACCAACATGCAGCTTAAAACAAGACATATAACACCTCTATACTTCCCCAGCACTATATGGACGGAGGTTTCACAAACATCCAGCCCTTCGAGGAATCCTCTCCCACCCTCACCATCTCCCCGTTTGCTGGAAACATGGACATCTGTCCCTCTGATACCTCCACCATCCTCTGTGACGCCATCATCCAGGAGCTCTACTTCCAGTGCTCCATTACCAACTTCATCAGACTGGTAGATGCCATGTTCCCTCGGGACTGGAGGGTGAGTTCAGTAAATGTCCCAACACAATACTTTTAGGATATTTGCTCTAATGCTGCCTTCACGTGCTATCGGAAATGTCTTACTTCCCACTTCTGAAGTTATGATTACAAGCTCGTCACATTTAAGTGCTTTGTTGTCGGAAACAGAGAACAGGAATCATGGAGGACACCAGTTTTATTCTTGCCTAATTGGGAAAATCTTATTAAAGCCAAAATTACATTTAGTGTCCCATTAGTGGTTTTTTTTTTTTGGAGTAAACAACCCTGATCACTGTCCACTTGGATGGAATCGAGCCACTTGAACATTCTGTAACTGTTATGGTCTTTATTTAATAAATAAATGGTAATATGGGTTTCAAATGACATCATTTTTATCAACACTTCCTTTAACTTAATTCATTGTTAATTGACAGATTTTGAAGAAGGCTTTCTACAGTGGATACCAAGATACCGTATACTTTCTGCAGCAGAGCAGTGAGTTTTTCTGCTATTTAAATATATATATTTGTTATTATTATTTTGGATGTTCATGTTCAAGTATTCATAAACTTATACTCACCTAAAGGATTATTAGGAACACCATACTAATACTCTGTTTGACCCGCTTTCACCTTCAGAACTGCCTTAATTCTACGTGGCATTGATTCAACAAGGTGCTGAAAGCATTCATCAGAAATGTTGGCCCATATTGATAGGATAGCATCTTGCAGTTGATGGAGATTTGTGGGATGCACATCCAGGACACGAAGCTCCCGTTCCACCACATCCCAAAGATGCTCTATTGTGTTGAGATCTGGTGACTGTGGGGGCCATTTTAGTACATTGAACTCATTGTCATGTTCAAGAAACCAATTTGAAATGATTTGAGCTTTGTGACATGGTGCATTATCCTGCTGGATGTAGCCATCAGAGGATGGGCACATGGTGGCCATAAAGGGATGGACATGGTCAGAAACAATGCTCAGGTAGGCCGTGGCATTTAAACGATGCCCAATTGGCACTAAGGTGCCTAAAGTGTGGCAAGAAAGCATCCCCCACACCATTACACCACCACCACCAGCCTGCACAGTGGTAACAAGGCAAAATGGATCCATGTTCTCATTCTGATTACGCCAAATTCTGACTCTACCATCTGAATGTCTCAATAGAAATCGAGACTCATCAGACCAGGCAACATTTTTCCAATCTTCAACTGTCCAATTTTGGTGAGCTCTTGCAAATTGTAGCCTCTTTTCTCTATTTGTAGTGGAGATGAGTGGTACCCGGTGGGGTCTTCTGCTGTTGTAGCCCATCCGCCTCAAGGTTGTATGTGTTGTGGCTTCACAAATGCTTTGCTGCATCCCTCGGTTGTAACGAGTGGTTATTTCAGTCAAAGTTGCTCTTCTATCAGCTTGAATCAGTCGGCCCATTCTCCTCTGACCGCTAGCATCAACAAGGCATTTTCACCCACAGGACTGCCGCATACTGGATGTTTTTCCCTTTTCACACCATTCTTTGTAAACCCTAGAAATGGTTGTGCGTGGAAATCCCAGTAACTGAGCAGATTGTGAAATACTCAGACCGGCCCATCTGGCACCAACAACCATGCCACGCTCAAAATTGCTTAAATCACCTTTCTTTCCCATTCTGACATTCAGTTTGGAGTTCAGGAGATTGTCTTGACCAGGACCACACCCCTAAATGCATTGAAGAAACTGCCATGTGATTGATTGATTGATTAGATAATTGCATTAATGAGTAATTGAACTGGTGTTCCTAATAATCTTTTAAGTGATATGTATAGCGAACACTTACTTTTTTACATTCGGTAAGACAACGACAGTTGTAACGATACTTGTAAATCTTTTGAAAAGACTAATAGGAAATATTGGAACCTTTGTCATTTGAATACTTAGACACCAATCTTAAAAAGATGAACCAACTCTGAATCAAGTCAACTCTCCTTCATGACTATCTCACTCACCTCGACAGATGCTTTGCCGTTGCACCCTCAACAGAGAAAGGAGTCAGATGCATCTGATGATTCTCTGAGCTCAGATCACTGGATGCTAACACAGACTGATGGTGTCGAGGAAGAGGAATCTCAGCCAAACTCCCTGGAACAACCTGAAGAGAAGACCATCAATGGGGTTTGTTCATCCATCAGTCCATCCCGTCAAGAGCGGACAGAACCGAAGAACTCGCCAGTAAAGGTTCAGGAAGGTACTGTAGTGTCCCATTTACATTTCTGATCATGAAGGATTCGAAAAGTGAAACATCCTCCCAATCTGTTTTAGTGCTCCTGTGTAATATTGAGGGACAGCTGGAGATTCTGAGTAATCCGGATGTCTCTTTATCTCAACGGACGCTCTCATTCCTGCTCTTGCTGTTTACACTGCCAATCTGGAGTGCCACAACCTTATGGGAAAGGTAAAGAGGAAAGGGAAGATATTTTGATTAAAGATTATGAGGACATATTAATATAAAAATGATGTCCAAGGATGAACCATGTATTATAAATACTGCAGGGCACACAACATAAATAAACTACAACAGGTGAACATTTCAGCTGTGTGGACACTAAAGCTACGTTGACATCATTGATTTCTTGTTTTTTAGTCGTCTATTTGATGAACCGAGATCTTTTTAGTCTATGCTGCTTTCTGTTGATGCTACAGAGCCCCTGAAGGGACATTGTAATGGAAAAAATATGAGATAGGACAACCCGATCTTGTAACGGTGGCCCACCCTTGCCAAAGGAGTTTTTAACTTTGAAATTAATTAGTTCGGGCGCCAGGTAGATTTAAGCCTACCACATTTAATGATTTAGCCAGATAGCTCAAAAACCACCAATTACACACAAAAACCCAAGGTAATCATCAACCCTAAAAAAAAACATTCCACCAAAGCGATTCAAAGTAAATGTTTATATTTGTCTTTTACCAAAACAACCAGAAAAATAAACATTTCACACACATTTAACAATGGATGACGGCTGTGTGGTGTAACGCACTCGCGTTCAAACCGCGATTTCAAGTCCACAAATGCAAATTAGTATCGCACGACCACACTCATTTACATTTAAATGCAGATCGTGATATAATCACGTAACAAAATAACAACAAAACAAAAGCGCTCACTCTGAGCGTGGATTGAATGGCCTCGTATGTATGTGGGTGTGTGTGCGTAGTCCTGTGCAAGTGTATGGGTGTGTGAGTTAAGTTCGTCGGTCACTGTCAGGAAAGCACAACACCTCAGTAATGTATTGCAGGCTTAGTTTGATGCGAGTACCTGAGACGATAGGCTTTGGGGACGATCACCGAGTTGCAGTTGGTATCCGAAAGTTTCCAAAGATGCACGGCACGAAACCCACTTTGCTTGTTCACTCTCTCATCCAACGTGGAACCGACGCCGCTGCAGACGCTCCATGCTCCGAGTCTAACACACCCGTGCAGTTCACTTCCACACGATTCCTTAATATCCAGAGTCAAGTGTGAACGAAGAGAACTGGAACCTGTGACTGCTGACTGTTCCACTGCTGCTTTCTCGTTTACCGACCTTCCTCCATTCCTTTTCCGCTTCCTTTTTATACTCACTGCGTCATCCTTGCCCTGTCTCCTGATTGGTTACTCATATTTCATTCATAAAAAGTGCGGGTTCGCCCCGAAATCGTCACATTCCCCCCCTCTGGAAAAAACGACCTCAAGGTTTGTGGGAGCATATGCTTTAAAATCCTCGGAATTCTGTGTCTTCATCTGAAGACTCTTGAAAGAGTTCCTGGAGTCTTTGTTTACCATATAACTCTAAATCAGCAGCGGTGGGATAGCATGGTTTCAAGTTACAGACGTGAGTAACTCGAACATCTTCGCCTGTAGATTCCAAAACTATCTGATAATTAAGGGGACCCATTTGCTGGAGTACACGATATGGACCTTTCCACTTGGGTGCCAATTTAGCACTGAAACTGTGTTGAGCACTGGATTGGGGAAAGTTCCTTAACCAGACACGATCCTGTTCCTTGAACAGAACTTCTCGTCTGTTTTTATTGTAGTTTCGAAGTTGGCGTTTCTTCGCTCGTATGCAATTCTCTTTAGCTCTTTCCTTCAGCTGAGTTATGTGGGTTACAACATCGTAAGATGGATCAGATGGTGAGAGGTTGTTTCTTTGACGCTGAAGCAGTTTGTCCATCGGACCTTGTAGCTTCCGGCCCATTTGTAATTCAGCTGGTGACATTCCAATACTCTCTTGGACGGCAGAGTTGACAGCGAACCGAAACTCAGGTATGTATTGGTCCCATTTCCTGTGGTTTTCCTCCAGGTAAGAAGCAATCATACATTTTAGGGTGCGGTTCACTCTCTCAGTCATGTTGGTCTGTGGATGGTACGCTGTTGTCAACTTCTGTGCAATGTTCCACTCTGAACACAGTTCCCTGAACAGTGATGAGATGAACTGGGCTCCTCGATCAGATAAGATGAAGTCTGGCACTCCCCAACGGGTAAGAATTTCTTTCCGAAGAATCAGAGCAATGGTTTGTGCATTGGCTTTACGCATTGGGAACATTTCCACCCATCTAGAGAAATAGTCTACACAGACTAGAAGATATTCATGCCGATGTGGCCTGCTGCTGGGCAATGGTCCCATAATGTCCACTCCCAACATCTCCATGGGTCGTGTGACAGTGATAGGTTGTAACTTGCCTGCAGGTTTTCGATTATCATATTTGTAGGTTTGACACTTCTTACAACTTTTAACAAAGTTCTTGACATCGGTCCACATTTTTGGCCAGAAAACAACATCCTGTAGACGTTTGTAAGTTTTGAAGATACCCCCATGTCCACTCAAAGGATATGAATGGTAATGCTGGAGAATTTCAGGAATAAGGCTTTTAGGTAAGTACATTCGATACTGGACTTGTCCTTTACCCAGTTGAGTCTTGAGATACAACTTGTCTTCCACAATCTCAAATTGTTCAGGTGTATCGTGCTTGTTCTCTGCTATGCTTTTGAAAATCTTTTGAATTTCAAGATCCTTATGTTGTTCTTCCCATAGGTCCATTGCAGTAAGTGGGAAGTCAACTTCCTTCTGTAGGCTGGTGAACACATTGCATGCAGGTAAGTTGGTGATTCGGGATAGGGCATCAGGCGCTGCATTTAATTTTCCTTTTCTGTATTCTATGACAAAGTCAAATTTCTGTAACCTCAGGGCCCATCGAATGAGACGACCTGTGGTTTTCGTTGAGGACATTACCCACTGAAGGGCAGAGTGATCAGTCACTACTGTGAACATCCTGTACTCAAGGTAATGTTGCCACTTCTCTAACGCCCAGATGACTGCCAGACACTCTTTCTCTGTGACTGAGTAGTTCGTTTCTGCTGGGTTTAAACTCCTGCTTGCGTAAGCAATGACTTCTTCTAATCCTAGTTCTTTTCTTTGAGTTAACACAGCTCCTAAGCCAGTGTCACTAGCGTCTGTGTACACTGTGAAAGGATGCTGCAGATTCGGATGACTCAGGATGGGAGGTGAGGACAAACATATCTTGAGCTGTTCGAATGCCTGTTGACATTGATCGGACCAATGGAATTTCTTCCCCTTTTTTTTCAGAGCATTAATGGGTTCCGCAATTTGTGAGAAATTTGCCACAAATCGATGGTACCATCCAGCTAATCCAAGAAACCGTTGTACCTCTTTGAGGTTGGTAGGTACTGGATAAGACCGTATGGCCTCAACTTTGCTTGGGTCCGCCGTAATCCCTTGCGTACTCACAACATGGCCAAGGAACGAAATTTCTTGGAGGCAAAATTTACTCTTTTTTAAGTTGACAGTCAATCCCGCTTCATGTAGCCTGTGGAAGACAGTCTGTAGGTCTTGTAGATGCTGAGTTAGGTTGGATGAATAAATGATTATATCATCAATGTAGACAAAACACAGTTTTCCTCTCAAATTTCCCAACACCATCTCCATCAACCTTTGGAAGGTCGCTGGGGCATTTCTAAGGCCAAAAGGCATAACGTTAAATTGGAAGAGTCCTAATGGAGTGATGAAAGCAGTTTTGTGCTTACTTGAGGGGTCCATAGCCACTTGCCAGTATCCACTATTGAGGTCTACTGTGGAAAAAATGGCTGCCCCTGAAAGTGATTCAAGGATCTCTGCAATGTTTGGCATAGGGTAAGCATCTGTTTCGGTTATGGCATTTAGCTTCCTGTAATCAACACAGAATCTCATGCTTCCGTCCTTCTTGGGAACAAGAACGACCGGAGAGGCCCACCCTGAGTGTGAAGGTTCTACAATACCAGTCTTGAGCATTTCTTCCAGTTGTTCCTTTACCAAAGCTTGTTTGGCAGGAGACATGCGGTAAGGTTTCTGTTTAACGGGTACTTGTTGACTGGTGTAGATGAAATGTTGCAGAACATTAGTTCGACCAAGTTGAAGTGTGCATACTGATGTGTTCATCTCTAGGAGTTCCTGTAACTGGCGTTTACCATTTGGAGGTAGATGAGCACTATTCACAGCATTTCCAATCAGACTTAAGTCAGTGTTCTCCAACGATGGCAACACCAGTGTGGGTTGAGGAGGTATGGCACTTAATAAGAACAAACTCCGCAGCCTTATGTTTTTTTGTCGTGGTGAGCCATTTGAAGGAACATTGGCATTTCCAGGTTGAAATGAATATCGTTCTTCTGGATTTGATTTGAAAAAGTACTGTCGGTCAATGACGTTGATTTGCATGCCACTGAAAAATATGAAGTCCAAACCCAAAACTAAGGAATAAGCGAGGGCTTTGGAAGGCAAAACAGCAATGGGTAAAGTGAAAGAAAAATCATGTAGATCAATTTGATGATGTATCCATCCTAAAGGTACTTCGGCTTCACCATTTGCCAGATACAGAGGTCCTAAAGTCCAAGGTTGCAATTTCTCATGTGAGGTAATTTCTCTACATACATTTTCATGCACCATAGTATAACTTGCTCCTGTGTCTACAATAGCTTTTCCTGCCCAACCACCAATGCAGACAGGTACTACTAACTGTGGTGGAATGATTGGTGGAGGTGGGGAAGGTAAGTTTGTGGTTGCTTGCTTTTTAGGTAAGTTTGTAGCAGTTACAGCATTACTGGTTGGTTGATTTCCATGTTTGTGGGATTGAAATGTCCTTTTATTTCCCGGTAGGTGCTGTGGATTCTCAGAAGGGGATGAATAATGAGGACAGTTTCCCGGGGCGTGATATCCTTTACACCTCCAACATCGTACAGATGATTTATCAGTAGTTCTGTTGGTGGATTTTTGTGTCACATCTGGAAAGGATGGTTTACTCACATGAGTTCCATATTGCTGTTGTTGCTCGTAGTCTTTCTCCAGTTGATGACCCAACTTTACAAGTTCTTCCACTGTAGTAACACGGCTACGTAACTGGCTGGCCAGGTGAGGTTTTATGTTTTTGAGAATCAATTTAACCACCTCGGATTCCGTTAAGGTTGGTTTCCACCGTTTACACAGGGCTCGATATGTGAATGCAAAATCTCGAATTGTCTCTTTTTCTCCTTGTGTTCGAGTACGAACACGTTCCGCTAATTCATCCTCATAATCTTCTGATAAAAAAGCAGAAAGAAATGCAGTTTCAAATTCCTCCCAAGTGGTTATAGAAGATCTGGCAACCTCCCACCAGTCTCGTGCTGTGCCATGTAGAACTGTGCGAAAAGTTGCTAAAATGTCAATGGTGGCAAGAGGGTGCAATGCAAGGAAGTCTTGACATCGTGCTAGGTATAGTAGTGGGTCTGTGTCATCAGATGATCTACCAAAAGTAGGAAAGGTCAGTCTTAAATGGTCACTTTTAATGGCAGGAGTAAGTAAAGGTGCAGGACTTGTTGGTTGAGCAGGTATGGTAGGTGGATCGATTGTAGAGGAGGACTCCCCTTGGCTTCCTCCATCTTCCTTAATTGTTTTCAAATGTTTCATTTCAAGTTGAAGTTCAGTGACCTTCTTGTCCAGTTCATTCAACTTGACATTACCTCTGGTAACTTCTGCAGAGAGTTGCTCATGATTTTTTTGAAAAAGTCGCTGGGTAGTTTTGATGTCCTGCTGTAACTCCTTTTGTAGTTGTTCCATCATAAAGCGGAATTCAGTACTCATGGTAGCTTCAGTTTTTTGTAGTTTCTCTGTAAGTAGGACTCGCATGGCTTTAATTAATTTATCAGTCTCAGTTTCTTCTTGTTGTTTTTGTGTAGTTAAAGTGGTGAAGAGTTGTTGATGGTTGGAATCCATTTTTGAAGTCAACACATCCAGTTGCCCACCAGTGTGAGAAAACAATTGTTTCAGTTCATGGGTAAGTTCACTCACAGTCTTTTCTTGTTTTCTTTGACCTTCAATTAGACAATCCCAATTCCCTTGTAGTTGGGTGGTGAGATGATGCATTTCTCTCCCAGGTGTGGGAAAGAAACCAGGTAGGGAACCAGGTAAGCCATGTTGTATTTCTGGAGAAGAGGTTTCAGATGGGGTGCACATTTGCATAGGATTGTGTTCCTGCTCCCAGGATTGCCCTTGCACCCGAAGGTTGTCAGCAGGTGGTGTATAAGCAAAACGAACATTCCCTCCCTGTGGAGTTTTGTGGGGCAATGTAGGTGTGGAGTAGAACATGGAAGTGCTTGGCGGTCGGGGTTGGCTGAAACGTTGCACATTTTGTTGTCCCCCTAATGGTCCACTTGGAGTAGGGATATCCAGAGGAGGATCAATATCCACCATAATGGATGGAGAGGGTGATTTTGTGGCCATATGCATAATATATTTATCAGTCAATGTATTAAATGTTGAATAAAGTTACTGTCTTTCAATGTGTGTGATGTGTATGCAAGTCACACAAAATACACAGTTATCGTGTGAGAAAAAAAAAAAAAAAATGCACTATTCAATTTTCAATGTACCACACAGCAATTACATAGGCCTAGGAAGCCTTTACGTTTTCAAGCATGTGGGGGGAGAAAAAAAATATAAAAAGATAAGACCAAAACAAAAATAAATCAGTTGGGAAGAAGAAAAAAAAATGTTTCTCACTAACTAATTACAGTAAGTCATTACCCCATCTTCCACAGAATAAGTGTCACACAATTTCACAAAAAAAAAAAAATTCAAGTTCACATGCAGAAAAGTCAATTAATATACCCTCCAAATCTAAAGATATTGGAGTCAAACTATAAAAAAAAAATGTCCCTGTTCGGGCGCCACTTATGTAACGGTGGCCCACCCTTGCCAAAGGAGTTTTTAACTTTGAAATTAATTAGTTCGGGCGCCAGGTAGATTTAAGCCTACCACATTTAATGATTTAGCCAGATAGCTCAAAAACCACCAATTACACACAAAAACCCAAGGTAATCATCAACCCTAAAAAAAAACATTCCACCAAAGCGATTCAAAGTAAATGTTTATATTTGTCTTTTACCAAAACAACCAGAAAAATAAACATTTCACACACATTTAACAATGGATGACGGCTGTGTGGTGTAACGCACTCGCGTTCAAACCGCGATTTCAAGTCCACAAATGCAAATTAGTATCGCACGACCACACTCATTTACATTTAAATGCAGATCGTGATATAATCACGTAACAAAATAACAACAAAACAAAAGCGCTCACTCTGAGCGTGGATTGAATGGCCTCGTATGTATGTGGGTGTGTGTGCGTAGTCCTGTGCAAGTGTATGGGTGTGTGAGTTAAGTTCGTCGGTCACTGTCAGGAAAGCACAACACCTCAGTAATGTATTGCAGGCTTAGTTTGATGCGAGTACCTGAGACGATAGGCTTTGGGACGATCACCGAGTTGCAGTTGGTATCCGAAAGTTTCCAAAGATGCACGGCACGAAACCCACTTTGCTTGTTCACTCTCTCATCCAACGTGGAACCGACGCCGCTGCAGACGCTCCATGCTCCGAGTCTAACACACCCGTGCAGTTCACTTCCACACGATTCCTTAATATCCAGAGTCAAGTGTGAACGAAGAGAACTGGAACCTGTGACTGCTGACTGTTCCACTGCTGCTTTCTCGTTTACCGACCTTCCTCCATTCCTTTTCCGCTTCCTTTTTATACTCACTGCGTCATCCTTGCCCTGTCTCCTGATTGGTTACTCATATTTCATTCATAAAAAGTGCGGGTTCGCCCCGAAATCGTCACAATCTCACGACCAAGTCGTACGAATTCGACGAATGATTAAAAAGTGGCTAATTCGTAACAATTCATACGACCTCACTCGTACGAATTAATACGATTTTGCAAAATCATACATATTTTACTAATTGGCCAATTCGTATGAATTCGTACGAATGACCTACCCCTCACCCCGCTCCTAAACCTAACCATCACGTGGGTTTAGACAAATCGTACGAATTAGTACGAGTGAGGTCATACGAATTAGACACTTTTTAATCATGCATCGAATTCGTACGAATTTGTCGTGAGATAGTGTTGGATAGGAGGAAACTTTTGAGTTCTAAAGAGAGTGCAAAGTTTCTTCAAAACTTTTCCATCACCTTTAAGGGCTTCGTATTGATGGGTTAACAAAAATCTGTTTCATGGGGGACCGCAAAACTACAAAAACTGTGTTGATTATTAAATAGATTAATAGTTTTAGTGAAATTAATTGGCTTTATGCACAGCTGCACTACTTCTTGAACTTAAGCCAGCTCTTTGTTTCCTGTCTGCCATTATTGCACAAACTTGATTAATTCAGGTGTGTCTGATTATTGTTACCGTGACTACTGAGGTCAGGCCCACCTGAATTTATCAATTGGCCAATAATGGCAGACAGGAAACAAGGAGCTGGCTGAAGTTCAGGAAGTTCAGCTGTGCAGAAAGCCAATTTCAGTGCATCAGTTATTTTCATTAAAGGGTTAGTTCACCCAAAAATGAAAATTCTGTCAGTATTTACTCACCCTCATGTTGTTCCAACCCCGTAAGACCTTCGTTCATCTTCGGAACACAAATTAAGATATTTAAGATATTAAGATCGCTCCTGCATACAGTCCATAGGCTTCTTGAGGGACTGGCTCTTGCTGTCCTCGAAAAGTCATTAAAGACATCGTTAAAATAGTCCAAGTGACTACAGGGGCTCAATCTTAAGTTTATCAAACGACGAGAACACTTTTGTGCGCAAAAAAACAACAAAAATAACGACTTTATTTCAACTATTCACTTCCTTCTCCATGAGCCTGTAAGTCAGTTAACGTAGTGTGATTGCGTAGAGCTACGTCACACGTAGGCTCACTATTGGCGGACGCTGGTCATGTGTGTGTGATGCGTGTGACGTACAATAACAGAAGCTTACGCTATTAAACTAGTAACCTGACTCGCGCAGAGGGAGAAATAAACGAATAGTTGAAATAAAGTCGTTATTTTTGTTGTTTTTTTGCGCACAAAAGTGTTCTCGTCGTTTGATAAACTTAAGATTGAGCCCCTGTAGTCACTTGGACTATTTTAACGATGTCTTTAATGACTTTTCGAGGACAGCAAGAGCCAGTACCTCAAGAAGCCTATGGACTGAGCGATCTTAATATCTTAAATATCTTAATTTGTGTTCCGAAGATGAACGAAGGTCTTACGGGGTTGGAACAACATGAGGGTGAGTAAATACTGACAGAATATTCATTTTTGGGTGAACTAACCCTTTAAATGCATAAAAGCAACATCATTTATTTTAAAATCCCACTTAAAGGTTTCTGAATTTAAAAGGCATTCTTTCGAGGCTGTTCATGAGCACTCATGTTGTTTCACAGGTCTCAGAAATGGACCACCAAAGCTACGACTTTGGCATACTGGCTCTGGCATGGCATCAAGCTATTTATGATCTTTGTACTCAAAATTGTGTTGTCCACTTGTTGGAAAGTCCTTGGAGACATGTAAGTACACAACACCAACAAAAAAACATTCTCTGCTGTTACAGTTTTTGTTAATACGTCCACTGAGGAAGTATCTTCTGTCTTTTGCAAAGGATGCTGAGTGTGATCAGTTTCATGCCTGCACAAGTTCAAGATGAGCACCGCAGGCCCAGAGAGTTTGCTGAGAGACACATGGCCTCCTCTAACATGAATGGCCATGTCTCATCTCATCTCCCAGCGAGTCCGTCTGTGGAACAGACCCTGCCAAACATCTACACGCTCCTGTTTTCACTAGAAACAGAGAGCAAGTGGAGAAGACGCAAGATAGAGGTGCAACACACCTTACAAAAACATGTGGCTGATGTGAAAAGAAATGAAAATAATGCTAGCAATCCAGGGTGGTTAACGTTACTTCACACAGAGTGAAGTGGATGTATCTTTTTTTTTTTTTTTTCCCCAGCTAAATACTGAATACACACTAACATGGGACTAGTCTCTAGATTTTGTAGTGTATTTTTCCTTTTAAAAATCTAATAAAAATGTATGGTATCACTACAATAAGGTCCCATTTGTTAACTTTAGTAATTGGAAACACTTTATTTTACAGTTTCCTTGTCACACGTTCCATGTACAAAGTAGTTAATATAGCAATTACTGTAAAGTGTGCATAATTACATGTAACTGACCGCAAAACAAACCCTAATAAGCACATGTTGTTAATTATTATTAAGCCAACTACTTAAATGTATAATTACACTGTAACACAGACACGTTCAAATAAAACGTTCCACTTTGGAAGTTGGCCTTGTTACAGTGTAACTTTACATTTAAGTACAAAGTAATATTAATTAGCAGCATTAACTAACTATACATGTACTGAAAAAACATGTTTTTAAGGAAGTGTTGGGTGTCTGTAATGTTGTATGGTTTTCTAATGGACTCTGAGTCTGACAATAAAGTTGAAAAAAATTTTATATAGGCTATATATACTCACCTAAAGGATACTAATACTGTGTCTGGCCCACTTTCGCCTTCAGAACTGCCTTAATTCTACGTGGCATTGATTCAACAAGGTGCTAAAAGCATTCTTTATAAATGTTGGCCCATATTGATAGGATAGCATCTTGAATTTGATGGAGATTTGTGGGATGCACATCCAGGGCACGAAGCTCCCGTTCCACCACATCCCAAAGATGCTCTATTGGGTTGAGATCTGGTGACTGTGGGCCATTTTAGTACATTGAACTCATTGTCATGTTCAAGAAAACAATTTAAAATTATTCAAGCTTTGTGACATGGTGCATTATCCTGCTGGAAGTAGCCATCAGAGGATGGGTACATGGTGGTGGCCATAAAGGGGTGGACATGATCAGAAACAATGCTCAGGTAGGCCGTGGCATTTAAACGATGCCCAATTGGCACTAAGGGGCCTTAAGTGTGCCAAGAAAACATCCCCCACACCATTACACCACCACCACCAGCCTGCACAGTGGTAACAAGGCATGATGGAGCATCAATAAGGCATTTTCGTGCACAGGACTGCCGCGTACTGGATGTTTTACCCTTTTCACACCATTCTTTGTAAACCCTAGAAATGGTTGTGCGTGAAAATCCCAGTAACTGAGCAGATTGTGAAATACTCAGACCGGCCCGTCTGGCACCAACAACCATGCCACGCTCAAAATTGCTTAAATCACCTTTCTTTCTTTTCCGTTCAGAAGATTGTCATGACCAGGACCACACCCCTAAATGCATTGAAGCAACTGCCATGTGATTGGTTGATTAGATAATTGCATTAATAAGAAAATGAACAGGTGTTCCTAATAATCCTTTAGGTGAGTGTATAATTAGGGCTAGGGTTAAAGTTTGGATTAGGGTTAGTTGCATGTAATTATGCATAATTTACTGTTGTTACTACAGTAATGTAACATGTATAAAAACCACACTGTAAAATAAAGCGTTACTAAATAAAGTGTAACCAAACCACATTTACCAAATGACATTTACTAATTCATTATTAAAATCAAAAGTTGTCTCTGTTCATTTTATTTAATGGAACTGAGCGAACATGAACTAAAACAAATTGTATTTTTATTAATGTTAAGTAAGTTATAGTTTAATTTTGTTGTCTGTTTAATATCACACTTAATATTTTCTCACACAGAAAATAGACTTGTCGGAGCATCAAAAGGTTTGAAGACCCATGTCTTGGTAAACAATAGTTTTTTATATAGTTGTGTAATATTTCATCTAGCAAACATTATATGATTTGTTTTGAAGAATAGTTTGAACAAATATAAAATCTAATGTTAGTTTCACTTCCTGAGATACCTTATTGATTAATTCGCTGCCTTTGATATCCCACAATCCTTTGCTTTCCATTCTATGACAGTTGAGCCAAAAAAATAAAGACAGCGTCTGAAAGTTGAGTGTATAAATGACTAACGATTTCCACTTCTGATGCCGCTTCTAGTGACAAATTACATTTGTAGAAATCCAATATTCTCTCTATTTTGCCGTAGATCATTAAACCTCAGAAGTCTGTCTGTCTGAAATCAGTTTTATGAGGCACCTTCATGCATAAACTCTGCCCACAAAGTCATTGCCTCTTAAGGTGAGGCAACAAGTCAGCTGCCTAAGTTTTCGTACGCAGCCGTGGTTAGATCACAGGACCCCGATTGCGTCAAATCCCAAACTCCATGAATGATTTGAGATTGATTAGCAATGGTGCTCAATGCAGAATGTGTTTCTACAGGACGCACTGAAATGTCAAGGGTGGCTAATACACTTCCAGACACCACAGCCCTGCTGCCATTCACATCCAGAAACAAATACTGCCATTATTTCATGGCAACCTTTTACCATTTCAGCACAATGACACAAAAGAGATCATATCGAAGCTTGGTCTCGATCATGCAGTCGTAAGAAACAGCGTAAATATCAGTTCTGAACAGATGTTAGACGCAGATTGATTGAGCCTTTAACCCTTGTGCATCAATTAAAAAAAGTTACACATAGGCAAAAAACTGTCATAAAAATGTGACGCTTTGGAGCACAGACTTAAGTTTGGTATCATTTTAAAGAAGACCCTTTGCAGATTATTGCTGAAGTAAAAAATAATAATAAGTAAATCCCAAAAAAAGTTATATATAGGTATAAGTTTATGAAAATTATTTATAAAAAAATATTTTATATAAAATATATATTTTTTAAATCAGGTTGAACTCAAAACTACAATAAAATCAAAGCTATAAATCTAAATAGGTTGTGTTCCAAATTTGAGGATGATATCTCAAAAAATGAGCTTTTGGTAACAGTTTGTTTGGGCGTAGTAACATATTTTCCTCATTGGGTCCCAGCAAAACCCCAGTGGAGCTCACAGTGATTGGATTTGAATTTGCAGTTTTTCTCTCTCAGTCTGACAAACACACACATGCGCACACACACACATATTTTTTTATAACACACATACTAACCACACTCTGACATCCATACCAACACACCCACACAAATATCGTTGCATAATTTATCCAGTTGGCTCTATAGTATGCCGAAGCAGAAAACAGGAATAAAGCGACATTTGTTTTATAGGCCAAACTTAAAAAAAACGACACCATCTGATAAAAAATAGTAAAAAATTAAATTTTGAAGCCTTGCCATCAGAATGAAAGCCTCTTAACAAAGATTGCAGAATTTTATAGTTAACTGAACCGGGGATTAAAAATTGCAGTTTTAATGGGTTTCAATGGGGACATTTTTGTCCAAAAGGGGCTGAGAGGGAGTATTTTTTGTACCTAATGCAAAAAATATTTTTTTAAGAAAATGACGGTGAAATAGTAAAATTCCAATAAAAATACACACCTGTGCCAAGTTTTTTGCAGTTAGCTTTAACACAGGCAAAGTGATCAAAAAAACAAAACTGAAAAGGACAAAAATGTCCACAAGGATGCACAAGGGTTAATTTTTTGGGGGGTTTAACCTAAAATGTCACAGTGCGGAATATTTCCAATACATGCCACCGTTCAAAAGTTTGGGCTTGGTAAGTTTATATAGCGTTTTTTTTTTAAAGAAAGCTGCATTTATTTCAATGTTATTACAATTTAATGATATTACAATAAATATTCTTGTCACAGTAAAGCTGCATTTTCAGCATCATTACTCCAGTCTTCAGTGTCACATGATCATTCAGATGATTTGGCACCCAAGAAACATTTCTCATTCACAGTTTCAACATTAGGTTCAGTCCTTGAAGTTTATACAATGGTAACACAACTGTTCATTGTATAAAGCTTACAGCTTAAGCATACTACTATTTGGCTTGTTCACAAAAGCAGCTACACATTTATCACAGTTGTTTTTTTTTTTTTCCAGAGTTTACCCTATTGTCATTTTTGACTTCACAGTAATAAGCTGTCAGTCTGGATCACAGGTATTCTGTCCTTCCAAATCTTCAGGTACCTACCAGGAAATGAAAAACATGAGAAATCACCCAAATGAACACTCATCAAGCAACTGAAACCATATACAAGAAACAGGAAACAAAATGAGGAAATAACAAGAACTTCATAACTAAATTTAATGTATTTGATTTCTTATAAACATCCTGAAATTTCAGAACTCAAATCTTGCTCCCCAGTGGGGAAAAAGATGCATTTACACCTCTGACAGAAGCTATAGAAATAAATGCATCAACACAAATGCATGACCACATTTACACATCAATCCATCCATTTGGTGACCAGAAACTCGGCTCAGTCACAGTGCTATTGGTTACCAACATCAGAAGAATTAAAATGATCCCATAATTTACTCACCATCCTATGTGTACATGACTTTCTTTTTTTTTTTCTCAGCCAAACACAATCAGAGTTATATTAAAAAATATCCTGGCTCTTCCAAGCTTTTGAAGGCCAAAAAAGCGCATTTATCATAAATGAAATACATACAGCTAAAAAAAAAAAAAAAAAAAACAAGTCATGAATTACAAGTCTAAAACGAGAATTTGTAAAGATAAAAGTGGGAGGAGCTAATAGTTTGAACCACGAGAGGCGTCAAAGCTTGCGCTACTTCTACATCCTAGTTTATAAAATTATAAATATGGATATTTTTCTTGCAAAAACATTGGGCTTTAAAAACAGTTAAAAACAGGCCTTTAGTAAAGGAGTAGTTCACTTTAAAAAAAAAAACTTTTGCTGATAATTTACTCACCCCCATGTCATCCAAGATGTCCATGTCATTCTTTCTTCAGTCGAAAAGAAATTAAGGTTTTTGATGAAAACATTCCAGGATTTTTCTCCATATAATGGACTTCAATGGGAACCAAACGGTTCAAGGACCAAAAGACAGTTTCAGTGCAGCTTCAAAGGGCTTTAAACAACACCAGACGATGAATAAGGGTCGAAACGATCGCTCATTAAAAACGGACGAAATGAACGAGTTGACTCAGGAAAGGATTTGTTCATTTTGATGAACGAGTTCGAACAGGAGAGTCACAAACGTGCGTCACAGAACAGAGCAAGGCGACCATTTGAGCTTATAAAACGTAAACTTAGTTTATTTATTAAATGAGCGATCGTTTCGCTTGATAAGACCCTTATTCATCGTCTGTGAACTACTCCTTTAACCCCCTGAAGCCGCACGGATTACTTTTATGATGGATGGATACGCTTCTTACGCTTCGCTGGCTTCAATAACTAAGGTACCATTCACTCCCATTTTAAAGCTTGGAAGAGTATTTTTCAGTTTGGGGTGAACTAACCCTTTTAATGATAAAGTGAGAAAATATACCAAACCTTCTTGGTGGCGTGTTACATTTGCTACTCTGCAAGAACCAACTGTGGTTCACTACTTTACCGAAGAAAAAAAATGCTTTTGCTATTTTCTGCCTGATCTGTTTTTACCTGTCTGTGGGCCGCACACATCTGTGTGAAGGAATCCTGTAGGTATTGACAACCAAACCCCATGATCCGACCGACCGTCTGGCTGCACAGTCCAGCTACTTTAGCAGTGAAGTCCAGGGTGAAGGCGAGCTTGACCAGCTCAGGGGAGGCGTCTGTGGTCTGGGGAAGAGGACTGGGGATCTGGGCTATATAGCGATCTGCCAGCTGCTGGAAGGAGCTGTACGTCAGTTTCTGGAGGAAGTCCTGGACACTCTTATTCTTGCTGATCTAGAAGCACAATTGTCATTATGCTGGTAAATATGACCAAATAAACCACAGAATGGTGGAATGGACCAGTTAGAATACTATGTCCTAAAGAGACATGTAATAAAATGTGTCAATAATCAATTGTTTTTTCCTTAATTGGGTCATGAACTGGCTTTTTACATTTTTTTATATTGTTGTCTGAGGTCAACTTATGACATTCGCTGGGTTTTTACATTAAAAAAAACATCAAAATGAATAAGTAATAGGCTGTATAGCCTAGTTCAAAAACGCTCGGTTTTTATGGGCGTCTCGCATTGAAGACTTGGAAGTAAACGCCCACTGCTGTGAGTGGATAACAGTTTTGCATATTATAATGAGTTTTACTCTCTATCTGGTTTGTCATCAGGTCTACGTTATTTAGCTATGCGTGTGGGCGGGGCTAAACCGGCCGTGTTGAAGTAGGCGTCGATCTTCTTCTGTGGGGGTGGTGTTTTATCTTCTTTGACGTCATAGTTCCCCATTTTGAAAAACGAGTCGTTTGCTGAGCCTGGTGTCAAAAAACTAACTTTTATTGGACTAACAAGGACGTTTTCAGTTCTGAAACTTACAGGATATTCTTATAATATGATGACCTCTTAAGATATCAAAAGCTCAAGGAAAATTTGATTTCACAGTTCATCACCCCTTTAAAATAACTGTCTGGAGATTATATCAAAGGATAAAGGGACTCAAACTTAAGTAATGGTTGTTTAAAATAAATGCTAACTTTTTGATCAATAATATCTCCATGTTGTTTCAGCAAGCTGATAATCCTCTCTGTATTGTCATCACCTGAGGAGACACAAGTGTGTACATTTACAACTTGTGATAAATTGAAACAAGTTTTGAATAAATTAATTAATAATTAAGTAAAATCTCCCAGAGTTTTCTGTGGAATTTATTTTGCTTTAAAAACATGCATTGACTGGATGTCCTGCTAGTCATGTTTCATAGAGAATCACCTGAAGAGCTGCAATCTTCAACAACGCATGCGCTGCGTGAGCGTGAGCGCGGCAAGTCATCTTTCGGACTAAACTGGATTTCTTTCACAATCCACTCCAATTCCTCTGAAACCCTCTCAAAGTATGTAATACTGGAGTCCACACTCACTACAGGGAGAGGAAGGGAAACAAAAAAAAAATGTACATACAAAAAAGTTTTATTTTTCTTTCAGATTTAGTTGATGTATATGGTTGACGTATATGGACCAATAAAACATTGATATTTAAGTTTGAAGGCCTGTTCACACCAGCATAAATATTTGGCGCAAGACAAAATTACCAACAGGCAAATACAAATTCCCTCCCAGACCGCTCATAGAAAAGCAGAAATGCTCCAGTTGCCCAAGTACACAAAATGATTCGCAAGTTTCCATTTCTGACACCTGCTTGTTGTGGAGAAAAAAGGAAGTCAAACATTACTTACATATTAAAGGGGGCATATCATGCCAAATCCACTTTTTTAGCCCTTAAATGCATTTTGTTGTATATTTGGAGTGTTTATAAGTACAGAAAAGATGAAATTATTCTCTTCAGGTGCTTTGTTTATATCTTTATATTCTGTTTTGGTCACATTTTGACGTATTTTGAACAATTAAGTCAGTATCTGCAGCCGAACTGACAAATAAGGACATTGACTACTGGCCCAACACTTCGAGCAATCCGCCATTATTATTTCTCGCTCCGATTTTGTAGTCCAAGCTACAAGAGGCCGAGGGCAAGTCAAAATGTTCGGTTGTTGGATGTAGTGATCTGAAGCACTTCAAGGATTCCCACTTCAACAACCTCCGCCAGTATACAGAAGGGTTTGCCGATCGACTCAGGTCAATTCCTTCTATCTTTGGAGACGACGAACAGAGCATTTCGTTAAGCTGTAAATATCATTAATAAAAATAAGGTACTTTACTTACTTAAAACATATGGTGGTCATGGTTTAGCAGTACTTTTGACTTTCTTTGTTTTTGTTTTGAAGTAACGTTACACGCCTGCAATATTATTGTTCTTGAGTTTCAGCAATGGTCATTTAGCTGCGTTGTTTTCTGATGCTTTTCTAAACGTATCATATTATCAATACAGATTTTTAGTGGTAAGATTAGACCGTAGTCATTTATCTTTTTAGTGTGCTTGTTTTAACAAGAAAAATAGTCGACTTTCACTAATAACACAATTACATACCACTGCAATACATCCATATGAAGACGTTGATCTGAAGGTTCGTCGTCTTCTTTTTCAACTCGCTCGCTCTGGCTCGAACACGTAAAGGCTTGATGGACAAGTCTTCCGTTGTTGACATTTTGTTAACGTGTGAATAAAAATGTTCTTTGAAGCTATAGTATATAATCGTATATCTCTAATCAGATATACGGTGGAGTTGTACTCAGCGACCTGGAGAGCGGGCGGGGTATGACACATCTCCTTTTTGTTTAAAGAGGCCGCTCCAAAACGGATCGCTCACAGACGCACATCAGAAACGGGGTAGAAAAGGGGCCTGTGGAGCTATAATAATGAGGAATTCAGACCCAAGCATTGCAGTTTCACTTGATATAGACCACAAATGTATGATTTATATGTAAAAAGGAATGATTTAAAAGCATGATTTTTTCATCAAAACAATACCAAATACAAGAGTACAGAGCCGGATCCAGATTTTTCCTCTACTATTCAGTCAGTGCAGAGATGGGTCACTGACATATAATACATAAAAATACCTTCAAAATGTAAAAATATATTATGAACTTCATTTTATTGAAATACTGCAAACCTGCAACTTATAAGTGTGAATTCTTACTGTTGTTGAGCAACTTTTTCTTGAGTGTCAGTATGAATGTCTGGCTGATGTGTGTTGAGTGTTGGTTGGCTAACAATTTTAAAAGGTCATTTTAAAGTGAATTCTGTTTCAGTCCAAAGGGATGTGATTTGGATGTTAATGATCACCTGGGATTGCTATCAGGGATATATAAAAATAAAAATCTGGTGTGAAAAACCTATTAGGAATATCCGATGGACAGATAAATGCTGACGTGAAAAACGGCTTTCTTCATATTAGATAAATATCTAAGGTGATATTATCTATCCTCTTCTTTGAGGACTTGGAGAATTTGTCATCTATCATCCTGTAAGGATTATTGTAATGCATTGTATTTGGGTGTGAAAACAGTTGAATTCATTCACTATGCGTCCAAATATGCCTACTTCCATACTATATAGCAGATGAAAAACAGTAGTATTCATAGTACTCATAAAAGTGTAGGCAAAAAGTCCCTGGATGATCTACTACTTCCGGTAAGATTCTGAAGTGTGCATTCGAGGGACACGTTACTATCCCATGAGGCCACGGGAGAGAATTTATGAATGGAGGTGAAGTGATGACATTGACGCTGGTAAATCACATGATTATGACAACATGGAGAATGTAGTACGTCCAGATTACATTCATACTACATAGAACATACTTTTTGTTTTTGCAGTCGCAAAGCAGGTTTAAAACCAAACGTAGTACCTACTAACATGTGACTTCGGATGGAAGTCAAAGAAACGAAAAGTGTTGTGCGACCACTCCTTTATTAAAGTTAAAATGTTTATTGCACCGAATTTCTGGACTGAACATTAGTATTAGTGTGAACAGACCTTGACCAAATGACACCCAGAAATGAATAATTCTGTCATCATTTATTCACTCTCAAGTTATTTTAAACCTGTATGAGATTCTTTGTTTTATTAAATGCAAAAGAAGATATTTTGAAGAATGTCTGATCCCCATTGACTTCCATAGTATGAAAAAAATAAATAAAAATACTATAGAAGTCAATGTGGAGCAGAAACTGATTGGTTACCAATACCAACATTCTTCAAAATATCTTCTTATAATATAATGCCCCATCTGATTTGTTCCCCTATTTCTATATGACATAACCTAGTTAAACAACATCACATGAGCAACAAGGATTTTTTCCCCCCCTAAATATCTGCACAATTGCAAATGGGATTAATATTTTGTTGCATTTTAGACACAAAATTGACAATATTGTCTGTTTTTGCTCTATTTGGAAAATAAAAGTAGTTCCAAACAAAGCCACAGATGGTCTGTGTCTCCGAGCAACATGAACGAATCAGTTGAAAAATTGACTCAATAACTGCCACCACCAACTTGAGGTTTTAGTCGCATATTTAAAGTATCAATTAATTTACAAAACTCGAAATACTATTTTTAAAACATACATTTCATCGCATTATAAATGCAATTGTAATTGCAGTGTAAATACAGCTTAAGATGCAGCTTTTACGCCACTTCTGCAGTGTGAAAAGTATTTAGTTGATACTGATGTCATTTAATTGGTAACAAGTGTCTTATTATACTAAAATAATTTGATTAAAGGAATATTTCTGTCAATTCTGTCATCATTTACTCTTGAGAACACAAAAGAAGATATTTTGAAGAATGTTGGTAATGAAACAGTTGATGGACCCCAGTGACTTCCATGGTATTTTTGTCCTACTATTGAAGTCAAAGGGGTCCATCAACTGATTACCGACATTCTTCAAAATATATCGTCTTTTGTGTTCAGTAGAAGAAAGAAATTAGTACAGGTGTGAAAGAACTTGAGGGTGAGTAAACAGAATAACTATTTTTTGCACATTAATTTTAAGTGAACTATAACTTTAAATGTAAGAATTTGACCAAAAAGATAATGAATGGATCTAAAAAAAAACTTTAAAAAAAAAACTAAAAATAAAAAATAAAAATGCCAATGGAAATCAATGAACTTGCACACAACTTCCGCACATAATTTTAAGAACATGAGAAGCTTCTGGAGTCAGCTGTCCATGACAGGCCAAAATAAGCCAAGGTACCAGCACAAAAACACAAAAAATATTGTCTTATTATTACAATTATCAATAAAATCTCAGAAAATATGATGATTTTAGGCAATTTCGCACGGACTCACCATCTGAAAGCCCTTCAAGGCCGCCAGGAACTGGAGTGGAGTCCGTTTGTAATGACTCTCTCTGCTCAACATGTTGATCGCGGAGCAAGATCTTCTTCAGGGAGAGTTTTTTCCTCAGAGTCTCAGAGAGGCCAGGTGAACTTTCAGAAGAAGTGTCAACCCTCCGTTCTGTAGACTGTCCACAGTCTGTTTCTGAAGCTCCTTCTCTGTTCACTTTCTTCTTAGAAAAGAGGTTAAGGAAACCTCTAAATGGAGAACGCCTCTTGGCTTTGATTGCTGGTTTCTGGCCCCTACACCGTAAACCAGATGGTGGTGTTGCGCACTCTGGGCACTTGCTGATACTCAGAAGCCTGTCTGCTGACAGGCAGTGTGTGGAGGGGTCACTGGACGCCCGTCTGGCCTGGCTTCCTTGCTTCACCCTCTTGAGTTGTTTCAGCTGATGTTTCCTGGATCCTTCATTGAGGCTGAGACTCCGCTTAACATATGTCTCTAACAGACATTTAGCACACTTCTGATCCAACAACAGCAAATGAGAGTTAGCAGGCTTGAACATGTTCGTTCTTTGCATTCACAATGTCTATAGGAAACAATGTTATACTGTTAGAACACACACATGAACACTGTATTTTCATCTATTTTAGCATGTGATCTATCCAAAATACACACAACAATAACATTGTTTTTTATTTATTTACCTTTATTTTCTTATTTCATCCCAAAATCTTCGTTGAGACTTCTGTGACATTGATAAACATTATGATAACCAATGGTGGTGGTAAAAACGACCTCGGTGTGATAGGCATCATTTTAATTTATTCACAATATCGAAACGATTAAGATTTCACTGTTTATAGATTGTTCTCTTTTTTGGAAAATATCACTAATAGACTTGTACTAAGCGAAAACACATTTCCAACACAAATAGGACTATGGTAAATGTCACAGTTAGACCACGACGTCATATAGTTTACAGTGTAATGAGGCGAGCGAATCTAAACGGGTAAAATGAAACCGTATCTGTTAAAACGGAAGTTGGTCCCCGGTCAGTGGCGTGTCTCAGCGAGCTGCTTAATTTTTTGGGCAACATGTCCACGGTTATAATCGCTCATTCATTGAAACGCTTGTCTTGCTAACTTAGGCAGCTCACTAAGTTTAGAGTTCACCGCATTTACCTTCGTAGTCTCCCAAAAACACTTTTCATTTGTTGAGACCGCCAGACGCGCTGTCCCGTTCATTACTCTTATACCGACATCATTATTTTAAGTAAATAAACCTCACCTTATTGATGTAGACCACCTTTGGACGTAAAGATCAAGTGACAAGCGTGCACTTGCAGAAGTAACGCGACAACTTCCCTGCAAGCGGTTCCGACGGGATCACGTGACATTCATGGCTCACCACCGCATGAATATTCATTATGAATAATTTGTGGCCATTAGAAAACAACAACAAGAAGCAAACTCTAGTCTACACGTGGCCTCCTAAGAAGACTCAGACAAATCTTTTTTTGAACAATGATATTTTGTTATGCTATGTCCTCTGAAGTGGACACCAGGACTAAAAAAAAAATGACATGAAATTATAGGCTATAGGCAAAAACAATGGATTTTATTTATTTATTTTTCAAATCACCAATACATTTGGGGGTTTATGGATTTGTTTAACCGAAATTTAAGATGGTTCTCAACTATGTTATGAAAGATATAATGGAACTAATTATTGAATTGATTAATTTGCCAACGATTAATATCACCATTCAATGTAATGTATCTACACTGTATCTAATTTGCATATTAACGCGTTCTTGGAGCAACTTGTAGGCTAATGAAAAAACAATTGTAATAATTGGAGTAATAGGCTAATTGGCAATATTTTAATTATAATATCTAATATTTCATAGAATTATTGATATATAATTTATTTCCAATATATTCACTTGTGTCTCCCAAAATGCCTCTACAGTTGACATGTAGGCCTATGTTTGTATTATGAAAGCCCTGTGATGTAACATACTGTCTTTTTGAAACGTTTTCCTAAGATGTTGGTTTAAATAAAATTTGAAAAGTAGTCTGATTTAAATTATGATTACAATATATCATCATATTTCCACAAGAGTGCTATTCGAAGAAGTTGACGAAGTTGAAGAGTGCTATTTGAAGAAGTTGTTTTTATGATGAAACCTCCAGACATTTGGCATCTTCGAAAAGCCCTGAATGTGCTCGGGAGACACAGACTGTGACATGTGACTTGTATGCTATCAGAGAAATTTACTAAAATATAAAGCCCACTACAGTGGACAAAAAGTCAATTCCTGGTTCGGCTAGACTACAAATTGTCATTTAAAACTCTCCACAAGATGGCGCTATTTATTCAAAGTTAATTCTATTCATGCTACAACAGAAAAGACACAAATAGTTTCCTCTCTTGTAATGCATCTCGGCATTTCAATGTCCGCCATTTATTTTCCTTAAGCCTTAACTGTAATACCGTTAGGCTACATTATTTCATGCGCTGTAAACATTATTGTTGGTTTAACTTAGAAAATTAAGTTACCCGGTTGCCTTAACATTTTGAGTTCATTGAAATTCAATTTATTAGGTAGGATAATACAATTAAGGTGATTGGTTTAATCAACCGAAAATCTAAATATTGTGTTATCTAATCCACATTAGTGACTTGATTTAACAAAAGGAGAAAAGTTTAATCTTCTTAAACTGCATGCTTTAGGTTAAAATATTTGAGAATTTCATTCTCTTTGAGCTTAAGAAAGCCCAGCTCTTCTTCAGCCTCAGTATTCAGCCTCCTTTGAATCAATCTCTAAAACTTATTGGAAATAATCAATGAAATATTTACAATGTAAACTGGTCTATTCATCAGACTAGGCTCGGTTAGTTCCTGACCATCCTTTAAATTGACAAACTGTCGGACACCTTATTTACTTATTCCGTTCCATTCCGATAACATCAAAACACTTGACAGCTTGATGACTGCAGAAGCCTATCACAGCAGAATTCAATCTGGCTTTCGAAACATAACCTGTGCTTACATAGACTCGGCAGAGCAGATATTCAACTTAAATTCCCTTAGGAGACCATGCGCAAGTCAAAATGGGGCTTATCGTGAGATCCTGTGTCTTTTTGGCATCTTTCAAACAGATATAGGTCAGGAAACACCATGTTACCTCTAAGTCACCCAAGTGAATAATTCACATGAGTTTAACTCAACTCCAGTAGTTTAATTATTCAGAGGTAGGTTAACACTAATGTTAGATCTGCTTGAAGTTGGTCAGCCAGGGAGATTAAAGGGGACATTTAATTCAATAAACAATAATGCACATCATTCTACAAGACCGTGTCGCAACTTTTAAGTGCATGCAATGGAGATTATAAAATTCTGAGAGATTTATATATAGATTTGCAGTGTAATTTGTTTCCTCAGTCATTTGTGAAAAACAAGTGCACCTTGTCATACTTTTAAAAGGAGTATTTATTACGAAAATAATAAACCTCAAACAAATATACTTGAGTGCGAACTTCATGTAATATTTTCTGAAACTTCATCACATTATTTAAAACGAAGTGAAAACATAGCCTGTTATAAATGTATTTTAAATGAAGTGCGCATTGTTTGACTGATTTGAAATATTTGAAATCTAATATTTTTTTAAAAAAAAATACTATAATATTAATGAAATGAAAGGCCACTTAAATGCACTTAAAGAGAGTTCACTTTCATGTTTCTTAACACACTCAAGTACACTTTTAAAAAAGTGCATGTTGTAAAAATATCAAATGAAAAGCACATAACTGATTATAATTAGATTAATACATTAAAAGTTTGTGTATTTTAAATTGACTAAATTCCAATTTTATCATTACAAATGTGTAATTACAAATATATTAAATGACATACAATTTTAATAGAAGTGACATTATATATTTCAGTTTACCATAAATGCTTCTCAGAGCATTTATTAAATTTAAACATATTTCACAGACAATCAAAGTAATTATGAATTAAATATAAGAATTTAAAAGTCCTACTTTAGTGGCTAAAAAAACACTCTAAAATTCAACTAATTGCATTTAATACAAATTTAAACTAAAATATGTTTTCATTTGATTGTAAATAACAGGAAAGGAAGTGTCCAATAACATCACGTTCAATTCATACTTAAGTATGTTGTTTCAAAGTGTATTATTTTCATACGTTTTTACTAAAAGTATGATAAAGACCCATTCTTTTTCACAAGGGTGAAAATATGTTTGCTTACTGTTTTATGAACTATGAATATATTTTTTTTTTTGCATACTGTGTAGAAAGAAAGTAGGCATATTGGGATATAGGGTTATGCCTGTAATGGCATAAAATTATGCTTAGGTTTTTGGACTGAGCATATGTTTGAGTTTAAATTAGATGGGCTTCTTCCATGTTGTAGAGAAAGAAAAAATGGTGAGATGACAATCGAAAGCAATCTATTGACGTGTATTGATTGCGCGGGTGTGGAAGTTAGGACAGATTGAAAAAATATGGAGCAGAGGAGAAGGAGAGGACAGAGACAGATGACCTTTAGAATGATGAATGTTGCGTCTGGGACTCAGAGCAAAGATGGACTATCATTTTGTCTCCCTGTGTTCCTACTGTCATGTGACAAAGGCTGTGTGTGGATGTGTCATACGCTGGTTGGAATAAGAGGCAGGATCTAATTGCAGCAGTCACATTTATTCACAAATGATATACACCAACAAGCGATGGGAGAAAATGAGGAACAGGTGGAGATAAACAATTGACAAATGAATAACCATGGCACAAAGGAAACAAGAACTAACACTGGGAAGTACAAACTAAAACAAAAACAAAAAATGTTAAATTTTTTTTTCCATTAGGTCAGGATCAAGGTCACTTTTATTTATAGCACCTTAAAACACAACGCATTCTCACCCCAAGGCGTCACCTTTGACCATGCTTCAATATTTGACATTTTAGGCGCCCTTTAGCGTCACTTACATGACGCGATCCTACGGCGTCATCTAACTGACGCTAAAGGAAAGCGTCAGTTAGAGGACGCGGTTAGGTTTAGGTGTGGGGTGGGGGTAGGGTACACGCGATCCTAGGGCGTCATCTAAAGCGTCAGATATTGAAGCATGTCCAAATGCTTCCCAAGGCGTGAGAATGGGCTGTAAAACAGCATTACTGCTGACAAGGTGCTTTACAAAAACACAAGAAAAATAACAGTCTTACTAAAATACATAGTGTAAAAATTGAACTCACTAAGACTACATATCCACAATTATGAATATAGGCCTGAGGAAAAAAAAAAATGTTTTCAGAGATGATTTAAATGCATGTAAGGAAGAAGATAACCTAACAAATTGAGGTAACGAGTTCCACAGCTAGGACCAACTACGGAAAAGGCTCTGTCACCTTAACATTTCAAGCGAGACAGTGGGAGATCTAAAAGATATTGGGGAGAGTATGGACAAATAAGGTCTAAGATATAAACTGGAGCAAGACTGTGCAATACAAAAGTTAAATCCTTGTACTCAATTCTGTATTTGACAAGTAGTCAATATAAATGTGATAAAATCGGGGTGATAGGCTCATGTTTTTTTCTTCCCCATTAAGAAGCGAGCTCTGGTCAGAATATGAGTCTGAGACCGCTCCGTAGGGTTGTGATTATGAGGCGTGTCTTAACCGAACCAGGAAAAACAACAACTCTGCACTCAATTGGATAGTCGGACAGACCTACAACCAATCAGAGCAACGCAGTAAGTCAAATACTTTGCATAGCATAGTTGTCAACAACAGAACTTACTTATTTTAGAAGTAAAATAACGAGTGTTGCTTCTTTCACTTGGTCCTTCATGAGTGCGACCAAAGGAGAAACCACAACGACCACATGCTTTTCATTACGTCCCATCTTCTTAACTTAGCGACCGTCAGAGCCAGCTGATAAGTTACACTTTTGCCGAATATCTTTCCGATCGACAAATGTCTTGATTGCAGTTTTCTGCGGACGTGGAGCTCTCGGCATCTCGAAAGATGTTGATCTTCATTCTTGTCCTCTTTTTGTCTCAAAGTCTGCTTGCCATGGTCCAAAATGTTTGAACAAAATAACAGCGTGAGCATCCTGCTATTAGCATAACCCAGTTGTCCATGTCTGTC